ATCCATCTTGACATCTACCTTGGTCGGCCTTGGCGCATCTTTCGATAGATACACCAGGTCTGCGCAGAAAGTCGAGAAAGTCACCAGAAACTGTTGGGAGGTTCCACAAATGTCCATCAACTCCATCCCTTTGGCCTTCGTCATGCCTCCCGGCCTTTCCGAACCACCCGGACCAACCGCGCTATGTGTCTTTGTTCACCCAGGCGCTGCGGCCTTCACGACTCTGACTGTGGGCACTGGCACCTGCTTCCTTAGTCCACTGGCGGGTGCAAGCGGGTTGTGGGTGGTGAACACACAACGAATGTCAACTCCCAAGGTGGAGTCATGGCGAGTCGGGATGTCAACATGCCCGGAGTCATAGGCTAGGGGCAAACAAACCTGAAACCTCTGAACAAAAACATCCACCATGCACCACCCGAAACTCTTAGAGATTTCATCACTCTTCCTTGCTTTCGGAGCAAAAGAGTGCCTGATGTCAAGGTGAGAAAGTAACCAGGCTCGTGCTTCATGGGAGTAGACTAGATGGTGAATCCATTCCATTCCGTTCCCATTTCTAGACTTTGTGTAAATCTTCCGTCCCCATGGGGGGTTGGTGCAACCCTAGCAGGTGCCAACTGATGGCGATTCACCACCCCCTCCAAGGGGCCCAAACAGGGCTACCCGGAGGAGGACACCACCTGCTTCGAAAAAGGTCTCAGAGTTCCGGTGAACTTGCAAAAGTGGCAAACGCTGTCCAACGGCCGGCTGAACACCTGAAAAAATAAGCCAAACCTTAAAAGTCTTCAACCTTAACAACTCTCAACATCCATCGCAAGAACAGAAACCATCAAATCATCGAAGACCAGGTCTAGTGTCCTACAAGTATGTTTTGTATGCACCCCAACCAGTGCCCCCACCCGACCATTCCCCGTCTTGGCTGATGTGCTTGCTCTGCCGCTTCTCCTGCATGGCACAGGAGGCACTGTGCCGGATTTTGAACGCGGTCCCCTGACATGACAAGTGTGTTCCACTGGCGGAGGTTCGAATGAAAAGGAGCTGCACCTACGGCACCTGACTTGCACCCGACCACACAACGGATGGGACTGAAAGATTGTCAATACATTACATGGACCCCTCTTCAAACACCCCAATGCATATATATATATATACTCCAGTCCCATCGAGTATCAGGGGTGTCACAGGATCTCACAAATTCCGCAAGAGGAGATCCTTCCCCACCGGCGCACCGCTTCAAACATTCGTGCACATGAAATGCGCCTTGACCATAGGACGTGGAGCAATCTCCGTCTCACAGCCCAGAGCCTGAAAGATTGCTGTGATTGCTCTGCGCTTGGGTCTTGTGGCGTTTCGTGGAGCTTGTCCTGTTTGGGTTCTCTCAAAGTACCTATATTGAGTTCTTTAGAGTTGCTGTCAGCTGTGCTGCACGGAGTTTGGTGACGTCAAGTCAGTAGACCGGTTTCTCACCCAGTCTTTTGAGCGTCAGATCGGTCCCGCTACATAACACTTGGTTGGATGGCTTGGGAGGTCTCATCGTTTACTGGCCTGGCCCACTTAACCTCGGCGCAAGGGGCGTCACGGCAAGGGGAGAAGACCGTCGACGAGCCCGTTGAGTTCGCCGAGTTGGATCCCGAGTTGGATCCCGTTGCAGCGAGACGTCGACCCTTTTGGTTCAATCACGGATGCAGATGGATTCCCAGAATCTCTCCGGCGAGAGATCACGGGGGTCCTTCTCTTCCGGAGGTTCACTCGTTCGTCCGTTCGGCCGTTGATCGTTCGTCCGTTCGACCTCCGCTTTCGGTGGGTGAAGCTGGTCCCTTTGGCCAAGCCTTGCTCCGGTGGCTGTCTGTATGTCTTCCAAGTATCGCTCTCAGGTATTGCTCTGGTTCCGTTTCCGAGCTACTCAGCTGATATCCAAGTATGGATTCTGTCCATGTGTTCAAGCAGAAGTGATTCACAAGAGCCTCCAACTACTCTGCAATTACGTAATTAGGGGAAACATGGGGAAACTCCATCGGTCCTTCAGTCCCTCTACTCTGCTTTGGATTGGCTGACTGGCTATTTCCCCGCAGCCAGACCGGCCGGCCTCTTTTCACCTATCAGACCCTCATGGGCGCGGAAGGCAGGTGAAGGCCGAAGGCTGGTTGGGTCAGTTGGTTTGTCCAAACATGGAGAACATGGTCCCGCAAGAGAGACATGAAGACTGTCTTTTCCTCTCCAGTAGACTCTACACATGACTGTGTTTTCATGTGTTTTCCAATCATTGCCTTCCAATCTTTCCACTTTCATGCATGTTTGGAGGGCGAAGATTGGGGTGCTTTGGACTTCATATGTCTGCGGCGCTATCAAAACCCGTGCGAATCTGGACGAGCCAAAACGCAACGAGGCGTGGACAACCGGAAAAGGGCGTCTCCCGGGGACAGAAGCGACAGAAGCGTCATTTCAGATTGAATGAATCGATGTTCGTCATCGTGCTGTCCTATTCAATTGCAATGATCGATCTTAAAATTGCCCATGCCGAAGAAGATGTCGTCTCCACTAGGAGATAGATTCGTCAAGAGGCCCACGCGGATTGATCAGGTGGAAACAGCAGTGGATCCCTGGTTTGCCCCTCACCGTCAGGATCAGGACACGGTGTCACACCCCTTCAAAGCTCCAAGCAGGTCCAAGCAAGTGGCACATTCTTCCCAAGGGAAGGCTCAGGCTCAGGCGCGTTCTTTTAAAGGGTGCGGAGGATGTCAGCTGTACATCGACGGATGTAACAAGACGAAACGTGTCCTAATTCAGCAATCAATCAAAGGATGGTGGTCTACATTGTAGAGTACATGATCAGGCTTTGACTCAAGCGATTGGCTCTTCGGAAACTGAAGTGACAACTGAACATACCTAATCAAGCGACACCTAAGAGCAACACCTGAAACGCTTGAGCCGTTGCACTAAAACACCTGCAGCTGGCGGTGGAACCTTCGCTGCCAGCGGTACTGGATGTTCAGACCTGTCAGACCTAGCCCGGCATATGCGGCGTATCTGATACGCAGGCCTTCATTCCAAGTCGGTTCAGTGGCGACCTCTAGGACTTCGCCCGGGTTTGCGTTGTCTGCTGTTCTTTCAAGATCTACATTCGGTCGCTGGGTGTGCCATTCCCATCAAATCCCATACTACGCGGAAACTGAAGAAAAGCAATCACAAAAAACACCAATCCACGCGTGCTCCAAAGTCAGACTTCTATGGAACCTGTCAGGAAACTCTTGCTACCTCTGCCCCTACCTCAGCCCACCCATCTTTGTTGAAAAGAATCCAGCTGCATTCACTGAGAGGTACTGCCAATTCTGAAGCAACCACAGGAATGAACTGCCGATCGCAGTTTGGACATGACACGTTCCTCTCGACCAAGTTTGGGTCGAGAGGGGGCCGTCTCTGGGCAGCGTCATTGATCTGAGACGTCACGACGCACCGCCTTCTTCGGAGTTTCAAACGTCACGTCGAGAGGGGAGGATGGTCATAAGATCTGTAAAGCACGGTGGACGAGTTTTGGGTGGGGCATCCAGTCCCTGAATCATGAGACAGTCAAGGGTAGCTACCACAAAAAAAATACAAGAACCCTCCTGGACGTCTCTGAAGAGACGAGCAGCATCGTGGCGCCTGCTGGGCAACGATGAACTTAACATGGTATTCATTCTCCAGAATCCACTGTCCAAACGAATCGCGACTCACAAAACAACATGATATTCTGGATGCTGGTTTTGTGGGATGGTTTAGGGGTCAGTGCCTTGCGGAGCCTAGATGAGCCAAGGTTTGTTGGAATAATACATGTATATAGCTTGAGTGGTGCTTTTCTGTATATACATAATACGATACGAGTATATACCGTTGTCGTCCTCATCATCACGAAAAGGATGTCTGATTGTTCATATTTAATGATAATATACCTTGATCTGGTGCGACCAGTTCTGCTTGGGTGTTCCAACGGCGTTCTTCTCGGCAATCGTTTTTTGGAGAATGTACTTTTACATTACCCTGTCGCTGGGAGAAAGCAGGTTTGTGAAAATGACTGCTCAAGGATGTACATGCGGACTATTCTACAGATGAGTGGGAAACCCGCTGACCTGTAGATGTACACTCCCGAAAACTAACATGGACCCTGAGAATGGCATCCTGAAAGACTGCTTTCCTTTACAAACCAGTGGTTTTCAATGGTTTTCAGGGTCCATGTTAGTTTTCAGCGGAGTAATCCTAAATGTGTCCAGATACCTTGCCGTGGTAAATTAAGCACAAGGAACCCAGCTCCACTGTTCACCCCGACCCCCCCCGATCCTCTCAGCCAGAGACTGGACTAGGCGTTTGTTCCCTGAAGTCTAGCCCAAAAATCTGGACACAAAAGAGGCATCTTAAGTGTTCAATTGCTTTTTATATTTGGTGTACTATTGTACGACGCTGGTCTCCTTCCTGCATCCTGCTTTTGATTGCGCAGGCTCGTGTGAAAGTATAAAACGAGACCCAAAAAACAGTCTTTGGGGCCCAAGTATGTTTTTAGGCCACAATCTAGTGTTAAAACGTTGTCATCAAACAACTATGCGGTTGTCGGTTGTGCCATCGTCTTTGCACTTCCTTGTTTCTTGCCATAGAGTCCATGTAATCTTTCCACAAATCATTCCATCGAGCCCTGGTCGGCGGAGGACCCCTTTGCGGATGCAGTTTCTTTGTACTGCAATCCGGCAAATCTTGCGGCCTGCCGGTCAAGTGGGGTTAACTGCGTGGCGCATGTTAAACCGGGTCTGGCGCCAGAGGGGGACGCACGCTGCACATCCCGGTACCCAAGACAGGGGAAGACAAGCCCATCTTCCGACTCTTGGAGTGTCTCGAGCAACACCAAATGCAGTCCTTCCAAGCTGAAATCATGAGTCCTTGAGACACCCCGAGCATTGAAAACAGTCGTAATACACTAGTACGGTACTATAGGATAATACTCTTTTCTTTCCTACGCTTCCTCGTCATCTGGTCATTTAAGATTCTTCTTCTTCGTCCAGAAGGACCATCACCTCGGCTACGGCTACTCGTCCCGTTCGGCGTTCGCCATTGGACGTACCACGTGCCGTGCGACTTCGGGCGACGTCAGAAGGTCCTGCCACCCAAACCAGTTCCAAGTACACATACTGATCAAAAGAAATAACTTATAACATCTTATAACTAAATGCTAGGGATACTTGATATTAATTACTTCATATGATTTAACATGGCTAATCATGGCTATACAGGTCATGGCACCAGCAGACCGACCGATTGGAATCCCTAGCAACCGTGTCGGTACCGGTGGATTCCCGCGGCGGATCGTGGCGGACATTCATCCGGTCGGTGGGTTGAATGGATGAACCACTATGAAGCACTCCAGTCGTGCTGGTGAAATGGTGAAACATTGGAAAAGCATGAAAGCAGAATTATACCGATCATACTCGGATCTACATCTACAAATGTGCATTACTATGCAAGGTTCATCTAGGTTCTGTGGGTACCCAGTGGTTCCGTATGAGAGCCCTTGGTTCCTCGTGGCTGCCTGGGATGCCTTGGGGACTTGGGGAGTTCTTGAAGGTCCCTTCATTTGGTTCCACTGAGGATCCTCATAGCGTTTGTCAACCCGGTATCTCCTATGAACACCAGCATTGCGTCTCATCCCCCCCAAAAAAGAGTTGGTGAGATGGAAAACTGCAGTCTTTGTCTTTACTGCATGAAAGAATTCCAGATATCGTGAAGGAATCGAATCGATTTCTTCCTCCGGTCCCGAACCTTAAAAGGAACACCCTCCACATCCGGAGTCACCAGAGGCTGCTCTCGCACGTCCCACGGCTGCGCCGTCTCCGGACGACGGACCATGTCCTCGAGACCAAGGGAACACCATCCGAGATCCGAAGAACGCGGCGAGCGGAAGAGTGTTCCAAAAATCGTCGGAAGAGTGTTTTCATCCTCGGACATATGGAAGAAGGGGCTCATGGTCGGCAGCCCGATGAACGTTCATCAGTCACAGAACGTCACGGATCAGGCACTAGATCAGGCCCCTTCGAATTTAACTTTATCTCCGCCCAGTTTCGACCGGGCTCCTGCCCCCAGGCCCTGTACGAAAATTCATCAGGAAGCCTCAGTCCTTGCGGATCAACCCCACCAAAGAATCTCTGAGGTGCCTACCTACGGAAAACCCTTCCGGAAAAAAAAGAATCCAGTAAATACACACCCTGCGTCGATGTGTTCTTTCAGAGGTCCGTTCCATGATGAGTCAGAAACGAGGACTTCAAGGAGACCTGTATGTATAGGGCGCCCTTCGTGAACCTCATGGGACCTCTCCGCCTCAGAGAGGCCAACGGCGAACCATGGAGCCGTGGAACCCTGCGAGTAATGCGAGTAAGACCCACAAGTGCACCTGGTTTTTCCCACAAATGCCGTGCCGAACGAAAAGACACATGACACAAAAGGTTCCTTGGGGAGTTTTCTTCGTAACAGGAATTGATCTGAATTGAGTGAAGTCCAACAAGAATATCAACAAGGCCAGCACAATTGTATGCTCCTTGCAGCCCTTCTGAAACTCTTTAGTCAAACTATGTCAAACTATGTCAAATTTATCCCTGCATTAATTAGCTTTTCAGTCGATCTTGGTGCTTACACTCATACAAGGGAATTAAATAGTATAGTGTCCAATTTGAGTGTGCCTCAGGAGTCATGAGTTGTTGAATATCTTTTTCTCAAATAATTTTGCGTCCTTGCTCCTAGTAGTAAGGCCAGGAGCCACTAGTAGCATCCTTGCTCCTAAGTGTGTCTTTTTGCCATGGAAGTGGACTATCCTCCATGTACTCCGGCTTCGCTACAATGCTTGTTGGCGGCCTCGCATCACTTCGCTGTTTCGATCTACCTCACACAAATCATTGAACAAATATATCCCACCCTATCATGCCCACCCTTCAAGTATCCCCAAACCAGCTACGGTCCAGGATGTTCTTTTTCCCAGGGTCGGTGCATGATCTCCCATGTTTTCCGCTCGAAAGCGAGCACGCTTTCGCACGCCCCCCACCCAGCTTCGCCCGCGTGCGAGCCAAGCACGCCCGCTAAACGGGCCTGAACTGCCAAGCTGCTAAACTGGGACAGAACTGCCCCAAGCGCTGTGTGAGAGCCTTGCTCTGCGCAGCCAACTCACGCTCAGCGGCCATCAGGGGGCCATTCAGTGGGAAGAGGCCCACCACGCGCATGGCACCACCCATGAAGAGCACCTCGCTCTCTTCTCGATGCAGGTCATAGGGTCCAACACGTTTCAATGTCCTCCATGTAAAAAAAGAAAACGAAATCAAAATTATATTACGTGAATATTTTAGTATAGCTTAATTTAGTGTCGTTTTCCTATTTTACTATAGCTTCATTCTTGTTACGGTCGTAGCGATGGCCTCCAACCTACTTGCGACGGCCTCCACCGAGCAGCTCGCGTCCTTGGCCTTGGGTAAAAGACACTGACATGGACCGATGGACCTTGGCTCTGACTGTTCTATAGTTGGGAGGCTCTGTTCACTGACCCTATTCTCCACGCTCCCACGCGCCCACCGCCTGTTTGTTCGTCTCATCCACCTCTTTGGCCGTCAACAAGCGTCGCACCTTGAAGATCACCCCACCTGCGCGCCGACGAACGCGTCGCCGTCGTCGGCAACGGGGCAAGGATCCGAGCAAGCCACAGCAGGTTTCGCGTCTCAGGCTGGAATCTTTGGTCATCTTGTTTGGGCTACGACATTATACAACCATTTCATCCTTCTCTGACATAATTAGCAAAAAAACTGTCGATTGTGAAGAGCTCGTCCATGTCTATATCACAAGATATATACATCATTTATCCTTTTGTAGACAATTCTCAATGTGGATACCCTATAGTTCATGTCCACAAATATCAGATACATACAAATACAGACTCCCATTCGAGGACATCCTGTTGATCCACTCCTTCGCTCCGACTCCGTTCCTCGAGACGAACCGGACTCGTTCACCGAGCCACGGGAGCGCTCCGCGCCGCAGCTGAGGGCGCTCATGGCCGCGCTGAAGTCCAAGGTGCCGCAGGCGCCGGCGGGCCAACGGATCACGGCACCGGGGGAATAGTGCTTCAAGGAACTGACCTGGATCATCGGTTTTCGTGAAGGATCAAAACAACCGACTCCGGGGCGTCGCCGAAGAGGGGCCGCTGGTGGATCTCTGGTGAAGGGAATGGCGCGATTACATGACTCGAAGGGATCTGGTGTCTTGCGGTTGGAGTCGAATGCAGGCTCCAAGGAATACGATCTCCTGATACTTCCGTGAGGAAAAGGCATCGCTGCAGACATGGTAGAGTTCTGGGCCAGTTGTGGAACTTGGCATGTTTCGGAATCTCCAGTAATTCCATTGGACTGGCTTTTCTTTTGAGGAAGCGGGGGGCAATGCACATCAATGCAACATGACCAACAGGACACCCACCACATTCCACCACAAAAACCATGCGGGGGTACTAGGTCGATCCAAGGTGAGGCGAATGGGAATTTGTACCGGCCCAAAAAGGGCAATCCGCCAGCGGGCCAAACTGGTCTTTTTTCGTAGTGGCTGATCTGGATTTGAAATTTGCCGGTGATGGCTGAAACCTCAACTGGGCCAGTTTGTATATATGTTCATCGGGAACAGGGGGTCTTTCGGGCTTGTCTCCCTACTCTGATATGCACCCAACTAATTAAACCCTGATGTAGTCTGGTCGCACGGTGCTCCTGCTTCTTCCAAACTTGAGAGTCAGTGTGGTGTCCGTTTAAATTCCCTTTCATTCCGGGTGGCAGGTGCTTCCTCGCTTCCCAAAATGGCACGGTAGCAAGGGCCACGGGCGCTGGGTAAGGTGTTCAGCGCTGCTTTCAGCAACAGCATGAAGCGGTGGCATTGAGCATGGATATCCACCTGACAAGCCATTGTGGAAAATGGATTGGACAATGTTGTTTCCGCAAGAAGGTTGGTCTCTCCCCGAAGGTTTCGGGTGAAACATCCTGAAACGGCTGTGGGTCAACACCAGGAGACCTGGGTTGACTTATACCTGGGGACCAGGGCTCATCCGGTTTTGACCCATCCCCACATCTTCTTCATGTGATGATTTGTTCATGCTCATCTCACTTATTCCGGCCCAGCCATGGCTGGCGATGTTTCGGTCTCCAGGTGTGGAGGCACATCGCTAGTGGGGGTCTGATCGCTGATCGGTTGGTTTATGTTGGTTTCCTCAAACGTTTGTTCCGTGTTCCGTGGCTTTTCACGTTACTGGTTGGCCTCGTTGGACAAATTGGATCGAAGATATTTTGTGGAAAGTGTCCTTCGAGGGCTAGAGCTTTTTTGTGCACAGTCTTCCGTTTTTCCCATCAGGCATATCTTGGAGGCACTTGAAGAATGTCAGGAGCCATCCAAGAATAAAGGAAGAACGTTTCCAAGAAGAGCTAAGGACTTTAGCGGTCTGCAAGACTTGTGCCCAAGAATCCTGATTTTCTACTCCAGGAGATCGCAAGGGAAAGCTGGCGGCTTTCGAAACATTTGGGGGGCAGATGGCAAGAGCCCCAGTTGGGACTGGAAACGAAAGGACGTACTCTCAAATAGCTGGCTAGAGAACCCAATCCATCCCAATCCGAACCCGAACCCGAGAGGACAGTCCTCTCCTTCCTTCGACATCCGCAAACATCGGAAATCCGTTCTTTCCTCCAAAAATCTCCAGACAACCTCGACATCTTTAAGATCCCAGCTACTTCCAAGGGGTCTCCAATAGACTACCCGGTTACCCTGCTTATGTCTCCATTGGACACCCAGGTGGAAGCGCGAGATCTTGGTTTCGCTGTTTCACCCTGCTTCGCCCCTCGATCGACACGCCACATAGATCGAGGAGGCGTAGAGGGCCAGCAAATAATTCCTCGGCGCAGACAAATACCGCGGAAAGATACTAGCTGAGTATCGTGTGTCCACGACGGGTTCAGTGCGAGATCGGTAAATGGTTGAGAAGTTTTATTTTAATGCTATAATAAATCTATATAATCTGAAACACTGGCTTCAAGTTTTAAGATGATTTAAGAATGTGTCTATTTCTTGTGGAGGAATGCAGACCTCTGAACTGCCATGCAAACGTTTCTCAAGACTCAGAAGCACCAACAGAACAATCAGCCATGAATCTTCAAATCAAAAACCTGTCCCAAGATTCGCAGCACCAAACATGCTCAAATCGACAGAAGGGTCTTCACATCTTTGGATCATCCTATGCCAGCCTCCCGGTTCCTCGCCATTCATCCACGAAAAAGACGCCCCGGTTGCGCTTCTTTCCCACCGGTTGCGCGCCGCACACCGGCACCGCCCGGCACACAAGCCGCATCCCAGCACCGAGCGGCGGAGACAAGCCGCTCTTCCCTTCGCCTCGGGCGATCTCGCGCTGCACCAGGAAGCGCATCAAGGTGGTCCTCTCCTCGGCGCCGGTGCGCGGCGGGCGGTTCGCGGCGACTGGTCACCGGGGGGGGTGGCAACGCGTTGGAGTCGAAAGGCTTGAAAAGAAGGGAGGACTGAAGAACGTGAAGAATAGATCATAGGATCCCCAAAGAGATATAGGTTTACAGTTTACATGGATGTGTTCGATTCACTTATAATATCTCTCTCTCTCTCTCTGTTCGGGGTTAATATGCAGTCCACTATGCAGTGCATGTCCTTCAAGCCTTTGTTTTTAGGGGATCATGTGCATGGGCTGATCTCGTCCCCCTCAAATGGCTGGCTGGCAAAAGATGTCGAACATTGTCAGACATATGCTAAGTACAGGAAATTTGTATAGCGATTGAAGAAGCGACATTCATAGAAATTACCAGTCAGATTGTTCCATGTTTCACACGACTTTCCGCATGAAGCTCGCCCCACATCCATCCAAATCCACAGTCACATGACTTCAGAAGTCCATGAATTCAGGACTTCAGCTCCTCCCTTCTTGCCACCTTCAGGACGCATGGAGGCCTGGCACCCCCGAGCAGCCCAAAACGCCGTCCGAGCGTCCGGTCCCAAGAGCTCCAGCAAGGCGGTGGCGGCCACCTCTTCCTTGGCCGCCGCCTCCTGCGGTGTTTGGTTGGGCCAACCGCTGCTTTGAGCGATCTGTGGAAATCGGCGATGGTCTCTCCATTTCTTTTCAGGGTTATATAGTTTGTCGGATGGTTTCGGGTTAAAGAAGACTTCATCTTTGATCCAAGAATCACACAGAAGCCACGCCCCGGGTTATATATGTGTGTGTTAACGTGTTTTTCTCCGTCGCCGAGTCGACACCCCACGCAGGTCGCGGCAGTCAAAGGTTCTGCTCACTGCTCCTCCTGTTCCACTTGTGTGGAGGTCACCCGAGAGAGCAAGGGCGGCTGTGACGGCAGTTGAGCCTCAAAAGCGGGCACATCCCTTAAGAACGCGCCCAATGGAGATCCATCTAGGAAATGTTTTGGGCAGCCATTCTTTTGGAGATATCTGGATGGACTTTCTCGAGAATGAAACCCTCTCCAGCTTCTCCCGGTGCGAAACAAACCTGGGAGACAAGCGATCTGCAGCCGGGCGGCCAAGACGGGCACCTTGTCCTCCTCCACTTCAGAGACATCATTGATTCCTGCGCGACGCCGCGTGGATCTGCGCGGTGCCGCGGCGCTTCCTCGTGTCTCAAGAGGCATCGTGGAAGAAAACGCTCTGATGAGCACAGGAAGGCTGTTATTTTCCTCCTGAAAACCAACGTCTTTCTTGCTGCTCAGCCAACTGCATGATTTCTTTACCAAAGACATGAGGAACCAATCCTCAGTCCTCAGTTCCGCCATGTACGTTCACCACCAGAGTTCACCCAGCCAACATCCGCACCGCACGACCGTCGTTCCACACGACAGTCCCGTCGTCAGCCATGTCCCCACACGAAGTCGTCGTCTCTCCTAGGAGCATCTTCTCACGGAGGTCTTGGAGACGAGATATGGGCGTGGATTGCGCCAACTGCTGCACAGCCTTCGGCAAGGCAGCCCAGTTGCCTCGAACGTGGGTTCCGCAGAACGTCCGGAGGGTGAAGGATCTCTGGAGGGTTTTCGTCGCGGGAGAGGCGGATGGATCATGCAGGATCTAAATTCCTTTTTCATTCTTTCAGATGCCTAAGACGTCTAAGACTTGTTGATGCCTATGGGCCGATATCCACTCCCAAGTCAGGAAAAGCAAGGTGACTCATGCCATTGATCAAGATGTCCACTTACTCCATAAAGACAAAAAGTCACAATCACCCCTTTCTGGCTGCTCGAGAGAGTTTCGTTTCTCAATTCCAATAGTCGATGATGCTCAAAAGCCGGCCTCTACGAATGTTTTTTATTGTCATCTATATAAATGAAAATAGATGAACATAGTAAATAATATGAAGTAAAGACCAAAACAAAGCACCCCTGCGCTTCTTGGTGGTCATGGTGGCTTCTACACAAAGGAAAACCCGGCCGACCGTCACCTCCCACAGTCACGCGCCGCACGACGCCAAACCGACGCGGCCGCCAGCGCCGGCCGCGTCGGCCGCGCCTGGTTCCAAGAGCCGTCCGGCCGCTGAGGGCAGGTCCTCCTTGCCATCTTGGGACCTCAGGTGCCAAGCGCGGCACGGCCGTCCTGGTGACGTGGGGCCACCACGGATTCCCTCGTCCGGTGCCGCGGGTTTGGCGGATGGGTCGGTCTTTTAAGTCGAAGGGTCCCTTCAATCGAGTCGACATGAAAACGGATGGATTTGGTGACATCACTGAGCTGACTGTCAATTGAGCAGTTGCTTGGGACAGGTATCAGGAATAAGGGCAAACTGGCAAACCAACGTCCTGGCAGCTTCTGTTCCATCTTTGTCACTGCACAGATGCATCAGTAAAATATGCCCGGACACGTGGTCTAGAGGCGCAGCATACCACTATGTCGCAAATCAGCACAGGGTGTTCTGTAACAACAATGTTACAACAGTTCGTATAGGTAGCATATTTCAAATGTTTTAAGTTCCATTTAAGCACCCACAAGTCCTGTTGTTGGCACCGTTGACAAGTCCTGTCCGACCCATCTCTCCAAGCGGCTGCCGCCGGGCTCGGCCCAAACGCCGCAGACCCTCCAAGTCGGTGTTGCTCAAGGTGACGCCTGGCAGGTTCTTTTCTTTCAAAGCAACCTTGAAACTGAAGGGATGTGAGATGATGTGAGATGTGAGGCTAAAATTACCTTGAAATTCCCAAAAATGCCTTTGAGTCAATCTTCAGACTTCAAGAGTTCAATGCATGTGAACAGTATAGAATATGGAACACCGTCCCACCTACCACGTGTATCACTGAAATCAACAGGATAGTCTAGGCTGTGTGATCTGTTGTGGAACGTACACCTCTCATAGTCTTCGAGGTATATAAGTATCTTCTTCCGTACCACATCCAAAGGATTCTCATGGGTTATATGGATAGTCCTTCATGGCCTTCCTGCCTGCGAAACCATCCACGGAGGCTGGGCCAAGTACATTTCGAGCATGAGTTCAACCACGAGGCCACAGGAAACACTTGTGAGACAAAGTCTCTCTGTCCATCACAGGGAAAGGATCTCCTCAATGCCAGAAGAAAACAAGGCACCAGGACTCAATTCATTGTGGTACTACCTGACTGAGGCAACCGTGACAAACACCAGAATCACAAGCTTCATCTTCTTCCACGGATAAGAATCCTGAGGAATCCTGCCAGAAAATCCTGCCAGAGATCCTGTGGGTTCGTTCCCAAGGATGGCAGAGGGGCGGGCCATAGACTTCCGTCAAACCTGGAGACCAGGACATCCTGAGACTTCCGCCTGCGTCCAGCATGACCCGGGCGGCTTGGCTTGCACCCGCCCATTGTGCCCACCTGGGGCACGTTTCATGGTGAAGTGGCAAAAAGGGTAGCTACTAGTAGTAATGCCAGGAGCTACAAGTAGCTTCTTACTAGTAGCAAGGTGCCTTGTTAGTAGTAGCTTGTGTAAAGAGATTTATGGTTATTGAGATCTGGAGATTGAGGTGGGTTGGGTTGAGTGTGACCGAGGTTGGGTTGAGTGCCTCTGGGTTGACTTGAGTTGGGTTGGGTGTGAGTCGGTTCGGTTAAGTGTGATTATAGAAACTTCTGGTTCCTATAGGGTTGCTGGTCAGTGAAGCTGGAAACTGAGGGAACCAGTCCAAAATGCTGTCCAACCATCCCCTTTGCCACTGAGTGACCCTGCAAGTTAGGTGTGGGACCGCAACATGCTCGCAGGCATCGGTCAAGATCCATCCATCAAAACGAGGCTTTGGGCGCGCAACCAGTCGCACCCCAAAACAAAAAAACACCTTCAGAGTGAAGAAGAAAGGACGTCATGCACAGGTGGAATGATCTTCGCTGAGGCTTTTCAAGTCTTTGAACTTTGCACACCAACATGACAGTCATCGAGCACCGTCCACAAGCTGCCTGTCAACAGCCGGAATCCAACTCGCACCTCACTCTCGGTTCCAAGAGAGTGGAGTATATAGATTCAGTTGACCTCCTATAGACCATGATGTTCATCTCTTTGAGCCTATTTGTGGGAGCCACGGGCTTCGGCTTCCCTCATCCGAGTCACATGAGGGCCGAAGGCGACGCTGCGGGGACCAGGTCGGAACCTCGCCGCGAATAAACGAGCAGGAAACCACACAAGTGTTGGCATTGAGCCAGAATTTCCAGCATGTTTCCAGCATTTTTTGTGTGGAAATTATCGTGCATGGTCTACATATGTCTACATGGCTAATTCGGAAAAAAATGATCTTCCTCACAGCATGCTCCATATATCTCCATAAATATGATTGCATTCTTGAATCACGCGCCCAACGATTCCTCTTGCGTGGCAATTCTATGGTTCGTGGCATTGGGTAAGAGATCTTCAGAGAGTTGGGCACTTCCCCGTAGCTTTCAGTCTGTGTGTTGCATTGTACCCATTGGGCACTGGATGGTCCGCCGCGTGGCATGGCAAACCATGTTGCCATGACTCGGCAAGTGCTTCTCTTCGTGTTCTGTTCTTACCAACTTGCTTAGCAGGTCCAACAACCTGAACTGTCGGACTGATCACCCGGTATCGGTGATTCACGTAGACCGGTGGCTGAAATCGGGCGACAGCAGGATCACATGATCTCCATGGGGTCGGATGTTTGTATCTGTATAATGATAATATTATAATGTATATTAAATAACTATATATATAAATAACGATAAATAAGGATCTTCGGACCTTCATGTTGGACACTTTCTCCAAATCCTCTCCAATGCCGAAACAGCACACACACCCCGGCGCCGTTCAAACACTCACTCGCCCAGCTGCTCGTCTCCACACTTGCCAAAAGCCGAATTGCCTGCGGCACAAACTGCTGCTCTGCTGGAGGAAAGAGCCATGGGTGCTTTGATGAAGGGATGTTCATGGATATTGGCATTACAGTAGGTGAATCAGAAAGTAGCGCCACTGGCTTCGGATTGGCTTTGCATAGCAAATCTTCGGCCCCGCACCTTAACATTGGGATCCCATGCTGTCGGAAGTTGCGTGGGGCCCAGCAGCTTCGTCTATCCCGTCACCGAGTCGACGTTGGAAAAACCAAACAAAGCAGCTCTACCAGACACTCGGACACTCCAAATTATATATAGAAACAGCATTCCTTACTAGGATGTAACACAGAACTGTCACAAAACCATGCAAAACCATTGGTGGAAAGCTACTCGGGGCCTCAGGGCTGTGGCAAAATACAGGTATAACGGTATAACACTGATCTTGGAGGGTCCAGGTAGACGAAAATACATCCAAAATGCATCCAAACCTGCCGATGATTTGGGGGCGCCCTGCCTCCGCATCGTCCAGCAAGGAGGCGAGCACTGTGGGTCGAACCGCGCTGACGCCGGAGCAAATCGCCGCAAGCTTCTCCTGGTCTTCCTGCAACCGCACAGACGATACATCCGATACATCGCGGCAGGGGCAGAGCATGGCTGAGGATTGGGCACGGTATCTTTCAATCAATTGCCAAGCTGGAGGGGTGCCCTGGTCGAAGTATATACTTCAAAAAGAGATCTAAACTTCTGCAGCCTTTCCGCACGACCGAAACATCCTACCACTGACTTCTGGGGACACCAAGAAAGTCAAGACCATGGAGATGCCACCGATGTGACTCAGTGCAAGTCACACGCCGGAGACGAGTCGTCCGACGAGTCGGAGACGAGTTGAATCATCGCAGTGCCGATCATGCCATGAATATCACGTCGACACACCAAACTAACATAGGAAAAAAGAAATGTCGAAGCTCCCAAAACGGTGCCGGATTGTCCCGGCTCAATCGCCGAGTGACGGATTTGGAGCAAGCATGGGCAAGCAAACACCTGATCCACCAGATCTGGCCATGACCCCAAAAGCTTGACCCCCCCAAACGACACAGATTTGCCCACGTCTCCTTGCCACACTCGTCCATAACCTGCTTGATGACCACATGTGGTTCACCTTTCCTTAGTGGCTCAACGGTGGAGGGTCACGGTCACAAATGGATAGGTTACTAAATTGGGATCATCCAATTGGTGTCCTGTCTGGAGGTCCATTTTTGTGTCTTGGGTCGTCTATTTGTCACCTCTTGGATGATCCAGTGATTGGTCTCTTCAGGAGGACTTTTCAGAGTGATTGGTCCCCACGTTGGCTTGGAAATTGAGAGGACTGTTGACCTGTGACATTGCTTGCCAATGACACAGGTCAACTATTGTTATGATCCGCGAATCCAATGGATCCAGGACCGTCCGGTCCTAGGGTTGTTGTTGGAGGAGAAAAATCATAGTCACCGCACAGTTTGGCCATAACATTTGAAAAATGCCCAAGGAACAAGCATTGAAACATTGACTTTCTGAAAAGGTTGGAAAATGGTCGTCTAACCACACTCGCCATTCAACTCGCGGTTGGTTCAGAGCTCCATCTGTTCCCTTGAAAGGTGCAGTGACAAGAAGACACTGCAATCTTCAGTTAAAAGGGTTTCAAGTTACTGGGTTCAGCATATTCTCGAAGTGACCGATCCTGAAGTCTCGACTTCCAATGGCAGAATCCCCCCACCGTCCCTGCTTCGGCCCCACCGAACGCCGGTCGAGGCTCCCTTCGCCGACCCGGCGCAAGACGGTCCAACGATGGGGCTCCAGGACAGCACGGACGTTCTCCTGGCGGGAGAACAAGTGAGACGGACGGACGTGGAGTCTCTTTTTCCTGGTTGCGGGAGCTCCAGGGAAAGGCGATAGGATCTCTTGACTCAACTTAACTTTCTAGCTTGTAGGGATCATAAGAGTCTACAAGAGTCTAAAGCATGAGGGAAGGGTGACAATAAAAGTGAGGTTCCATCTAATTTCAACTGGAAAAATGTTATGGGTGCATCCAAAACAGAGTCACTGGTTGGAGTTCCAGGAGAATCTATAGGAAAAATGGAAGTTGTTCATGGGGACATATGGGGACACTGGACGACCCATGTTGGGAGTAGTGGACAGTGTCCAGCCTGTACCTTGATGCGACAGTCAAGCCAGTCATCCCCAAGCAATCTGGTTCTTCTCTACTTTTCCTACATACCAATCATAAATTGTTTTCTGCTTACACTAATCTACTTCTCAATGGACCGTCAATTCCTTGAAACAATCTTCTTGACCTTGGAGTAGACTACAAGCCACTGAAGCCTCCTCATGCAATTTTTTAGGCCAAACCAAAGATCCAAGAACCTGCCTCGATCCGTCCGGTACCGAGTGACCTCAAGCCACCACCAATTCAGCGAGCTCAATCTGGTCAGTTGCCGTCCTTACCTCTGAACCGAGGGTCACCTTGAAGCTCGTTCGCTCAAACTGGAGTTGTATCAGGTGCCTCATTTTGAGGTCCCACTCCGAACCACTTCAAAACCATGAATGCGTCGATTTTGATGGTCTTGAATGATGAGTTCGGGGGTGCATCGTTGAAAATGCTTAATGCGGCTTGATGGCTCAACAAAGCTCGGGGTGGCCCCCGTGCAAAAACACACACACTATGTTTGTTGGAAAACATGACGGAGCCCAACCTCATCCAATCCGAAACACCTGGAAGGAAGGAAAGCAAACGAGGGAACGAGTTGTAAGGCGTGTCCGTGAATTCGAAGAGGATGTTCATGAAGCGACCGTGCACTTTTTCCTGGGATGGCCGTGGGGGGGTTGGGGGCTGACATGGGGCACCAGTTCCCGGCCAGTTCCCTTCCTCCAAAAGGAACCGATCCCACTGGTCATCCCACCGGTTTGGTGGGGAGGTGCCATGACTGGCTGACGCCGTGCGCTCGCGGCGGCGAGGCGGCGCGGTGGCGAAGCTCCTGGATGGTGGGACTCCCCACACAGCGGGGCGCCGCCAAATTGGCACGGAGGCCTGGACACGCTCGGGCAGCCCGGGCAGCAGGTTGCAAAAGTAAGGGTTGAGGATGAATAATATGTTTGGACCTTGCTGGAATGAACTAATTATTTCCTCTCTGGTAGATCACTCCTTTCAGGGCCTTCCGAATGAGTCAAATCGAATGAGAACGTCCAAAACTCGCAGAACTCAACGGATGAGATGAGACCCTCAGAGAAACCCTGGGGCCGATCCTGAACTCGTGCCCCGTTCCTTCGCCCGAACGGGTCTCGGAACTGGACTGGTCCGAGTCAACCTCTGTGGCTGAAGAGTGGCCGAATCCGACTCCGTGAGGTCGACCAAGGGTTTCTGATCGAAGTCCCCGACGGGTGGACCCAAATGTCTGGAAAAACATGGCCTGACAAGAATGGATCCAGCAGATGCTGCAGCTGGTTCTTCCTCTCCCACCAGCACGACCAGCTTGAGCAACCTCTTTTCAGCTTGACCAACCCAACTGGCGACGAGTCGAGCTCCAAAAGCCACGCTCGGCTCGTTCTTTTTCGCGACGCTAAGCTCGGCTCGGCGCCTTTCTGGATGAGCAAATCCACGGTTCGGTCAAGGCCACACTGGGCGGCCAGGTATAGCAGATTGGCGTTGGCTGCCAAGCCCAACTGCTCGCAGGCCACCGAGCCCAAAGGCTCCGAGGCCAACTCAGGCCTCGGAGGAAGGGATGGCTTTGCGTCAATGGCCTCGAGGTGTTCGTTGAAAGAAAACTGAAACGGTGTTGGTCTATATAGGACCCTTTTTTGCGAGCGTTTGGTTATGCGAGAGGTGGATAGACTATGAAGAGTGGGAGACAGGCTGGAAAGGCTTGGCTACACTGTGCGGATGAGGATTTTGGCTAGACCGGCGCAATGGAGTGATCTTTGAATACTGGTGCACTTCCCAGTCTTCATGGCCGAAAGCAGCGAATTGTTGGCAGTGTTCTTTGGAACCAACTCAGCAACCGGACTGCAAAGACAAAAGATCCAAAAAATTGCAGAAACATTACATAATGTTACCAAATGGATCCAAATGGTGCCAAATACATCAAACACTGATGAAAATACAACCTTCCTTCATCTGTATTCCATCATATCATGTCTCAAACCTACGGACTATGACTATGAACATCTATAGAGGAACATGGTCTTGTCTTCGATGCATACTGCACAGTGTATAAACAAATTAACAGGAGCATGAGCATAAACGATTCTTTACTATATATACTAAAGTTACTCAACTTCTTCACACTGCAGGTGCTTTCTCCGCAATGTGAAGCTCCGTCTCCGTGGTCGTACCCTAAAAAATCCATCGTACCCATCCGTCTCCATGTCGGACTGTTGCTTCTTCAGCCAACTGAGTTGCTGCTGCAAAAGCAGCTTGATAATCTCATCGTTGTCCCTGCTGACGGCGACGCCCAGAGGCGAGAGGCCTTGATCGTCGGGACGAGAGAGGCGAGACCGGAGGACAACAGCCGAGGCAAATGGAACAAGCGCCGGCCTTGATGTGGTAGACCAAATGGATATGTGTTTCATTTAGTTTCACTCAATGACATTTTTAGAACAACCAACCAATATTGAAGTAAATCGGAACTTGCTTATATACTAAAAGTAGGCTATTAAAGAAGGAGCTTTCTCTTGCACGTGCCAGGGTTCCATGCATGTGGTCATGGCCTAGATGCACCATTTACCATGTATATAGGGAGTGCCAAGCCAAGTGCCCCAACGCAGCCGCTCGGACCCATGACCCGGACCAGTGTTCTCATCAAACACAACACAGGTCACTCCAAGTTCATTGGGAAGCCATCTATCATCTACCACATGCTGTCATTTGCCTTGGGCTGTCTAAGCTTTTGCCTAGAACATCCAAGTTTTCTTGCAATCTCTACAAGTAGCTCTGGATTGTCCCAGAAATCGCTTCTCTGACTTGAAAGCCCTTTTGTGTAGGAAGAGCAAAACGGCTTAGCCAGCCCAGCTCGAAAATCCTTCCCGAGGCCCTGATCGAACCAGAGCCGAAGAGAAGCTTCGACAGGTAAACAACAGATTCCAATCCCTGTCGAACCATCCCAAAAGTCTGGGTCCATTGGAATAACCATGAATTTCTGAAGAACCCTTTCCCAAATTGGGCTGGACAAAACTATTTCACATGAAATATTGTTCCAACATGCTTCAACCACAAAGAGTGCACCGCGGGTCGAACCTTCGCACACCCCAGATGTTCCCAAATGTCTACCTCTGTAAGGTTCACTTCACGGTCATGACTCATGACATATGACCACTTCTTTTTGAGAGGTGCATGATGGATGATATTGTTGGTGATCCTTAACACGTATTCAATCAACCATGAGCTTCAACCAGTCTTCACCCATCGCAAAAATGGGAAGCCAGAACCCTCAAGGTGCTTTAGCCGCGGCCCCCAAAAGGACCCTTAAAGCCACCGCGCAGATCAAGCCCATCGAGGAGCCATTCACTCGCACCTGCAAATCCGCTTTGGAGTTGATCAAGACCCGCAAGGCGCCCACCTGCGCGGTGGCCGCTGCAAAGTGCAAGGCACGACCTGACACCACGGTTGGGGCGCGAAGCGCGGCGCAAGGAGACCGGTGAAGACACTGGCGGTGCGTTTGGTGTCCGGCCAATACGATCAATACGCAGAAGCCACACCGATTTCAACCACTGAGTTTCATCCACTACCGATACCGCCATGGTCATCCACCATCTCCATGGGGAACGCCTCGTTTGATGCCTCCACCTCCATCTGTGGAATCCTTTTCACCGCTGTCGCCGTGGCCCGCACCTGGCACCGCGCCGATGCGCAGCAGCATGGCCAGCGCCTGCAGCGCCCCCGTGGCGGCGGCCGCCTCTGTGGGCAACACGCCGTCCGTGGCGCGGTGAGGGTCGGCGCCATAGGCCAAGCAGAACTGCAGGACCTGAACAGCAGGAGCTGCAGGACTGCTGGAGGGGTTGGATTGGGGGGATTTGGCTGGATTGGATGGAGTGGTTACCTGGTTGATGAGGAGGGGTTCTTTAGAGTCGTCGTGTAGATCTGTTTGAAGCCTATAGAAAGCACAGAGGGAAAAGGAGAGTGTGAGGTTTTTTCTAATGCATGTTAATGCTGTTTGAAGGAATCTTAGGTTCTGGCCAGGCGCCGCTTGGCACTTACAAGCCAGGACACAAGCCATGCCACCCCAGCATGACAAGCATTCTAGTATAGAGCCCCCTTAAATACCGAGAATATCCTCCAAAGCGAAGACATAAACAAGGTAGAATACATCAAGTGCCTTCTGATTCTTAGCATGGCACCTTCCAGCAGTCTTCCCCTTCTTCCCTTATCTTCTAGCCACACCTCGACCAGTCCACCCGTCCCAGCCGCACCTCCAGGTCATTGTTGGCTGCTGCAAGCCACAGCACTGAGGCTTGCTCGCGGCCTGCAGAAGCGGAGTGCCGCGCTGTGTTCCACCAAAAATCACTCTTGAACACCCCTGAAAACAGGAACGATGCGCAGCGTGACCGACGGAAATCCTCCTGGTGGTTCAGCTGAGTAATTACGTATGCAAAACCATATAAAAAACCGCTGCTAGCAATCTTTAGACCCTCCAGTGTCTCAACATCTGCTTCGCCCCAGCTCTCCACTCTCCCGCGGATTTATCCGGTGCCATGCCCCATGTGCCTAGGGCATTGAAGTCCAGATCCAAACCACGGACCAAAAGCTCCTCACGGCAGCGATCTGCGATCCGCTGCCGGAGCCCCCCCGACAGAAGATCGGTCGACTCAAAGCTCAGTGGGACCAACAGCAGCTGGGTGGCCGGAGCAAGGGCACCGGTGGTTCTGCCCGATCTAAGGACCCTATTGCACCATATGCACCATGATAAAGCTGGGGGCATGAAGCTGTGGGCCCATCGGAGGAGAATCATCATGCCAGTGCGCAACTTCCGGGGTTCCATGGAACCCCGCTGTCGTGCCCCGGCTCTCCTGAATGGTCTGCATCCGCTTGGGCGCTCGAGTGTCGATCGCCTAGAACGGCCGTGCCATCTTGCGGCAAACCGTGCAGCGCTTACATGCTCCAAACGCGTTGGAAGAAATGGTGGCCCTCTCTCGAACACACCACGCGTTTTTTATGAGATGGCACCCTTTTTTTCAGAGGCTTTTTGTTTGATAACGAAACGAACTCCACAGTCCACATCCTTTGTTGGAGGAGCCCGGGTACTACGTAGTACGCAATCCTTAAGGGCCCAATGCCGAATCGCAAAAGTGCGATTCAAGGCCAGCCCTCTAGTACGCAAAAGAAAAAGAAACCTCGCCGCATCGAAACATACCTGGACCTTCCAGGGATGTCCTGGTGTAGGGGCTTCCAGCCAGGTGACCCCGACATGAAGGTGCTGATCTGATTCAAACCACGGCAATCGCCGATCGCGCCTGCTTAATCTTGGCCCAGCTCCGCTGCAGCATGGGCAAGGCCATGGGCTCTGCTCGTGCGGACGCCTGAGGAGCGTCGAACCAAAACCGCATCATCCCTCCGTGGCAGCACGGATGGTGCGACGTTTGGGGACGTTCTCCAATTCCTTGTGGCTTTGGCTGGGTGTTCTGTATTTTTGGGCTTTGCTCGAAAGAGATCGAAAGAGGGACCAATTATGACCAACACAACTGGAAACCATCTTAAGATCTCTTCAGCTTGACCATATTGCCATCAGTTGACCCTTCTGTACCGCCCACCCCAGCAGCCTTCTGCTGCTCCACCGCTGACCACTGCTGCTGGGCATTCTTCTTCTCTTCCCCCGAATCGCCACGTGCCACTGCCATCTGCCGCTCTTCGGCATGAAGCCCGGCACGGATCATCTGCGAGTCGAGCGGCGATCGTGGGCGATCGACCTTGAAATCTAGGTGATTTGGGAAGATCGTGGGGAAGTGCAAATTCAGGTCGATGGACCATGGACCACCTGGGTGGTCCATCCCAGCCACTGCGGCGAGCACTTCGGACCACTTCTTCTCAACAACTGAGTCGGCGGAATGTCCAATCAAAAAGACGTCCCCTTTCAACCTCTCAACTCGGCGGTGCGAACTCGGCGTGGCTCGGTAAACTCGTCCTGTAGATCGTCCGGCTTGGCTCCAGGCAAGAAGACCTGGACCACTCCACAGGTTCCACAGGGCTGGAGGTGATGTGGGCAGTGGGGAGTGGGGGGGGGACCTTGTTGTTCTTTGTTTCATCGGAGTTTTAGGAGAGTGCAATAATCTGTGATTGACAGTGACAGTCCGAAAACTGATGATGCACCAAGTGAAGAAGTGCCAAAGGTGTTTCTTCCCATTCGCAAGGGCCAAATGCTCCGCGCAGGACGTGATTTCCGGTCGGACCGAGTGGTCCATGTGGGGCAGGTCTCTCTGAGTGGATGGCACAAACAGAATCCATGCGCTAAAGAGCCCCCCCAAACAAAACACATATACCTCACAAATGCACGCATACGAGAAGAAAAAAGAAAAGAAGAAGAATCAGAAGAAGAAGAGGAGGAAGAGGAAGAGGAAAGAACAGGAACAACAAGAACAAGCACTTACAAGACTTCTCTCCCCGCGCAGCTCATGTGCAACCCTGACCTCCTTCAGCAAGAAGTCCAAGGGCTTTCGTGGGTGGCCACCACGTAGTGCCTTGCCAGCGAGGTTAAGCCCTCTTGAGGCCGCGAGATTTAGATGCCCGGCCCCCAATCTCTAAAGAGAGCCGATCATCTTTAGTTGTTCCGCAGATCTTCCTGTAAACTTTAAACTTCCAGTGTTCGAATTGTGCATCCCTCCATGACTGACTAGATTCACCTATCACCATTCTTCGCCCATCAACCGGAGGCTTCAACGGGCCTTCTCCACCTCTTCGTTCAAGCGCTTCAACAACAATCGAATCCAAAGCTCATCTTCGCCTTCCATTGGCCGAAGAGGGAAGCAGCGGAAGCCACTGTTGGCCTAATATCATTTAGAAACACTAGAAATCATCATGGTTGAAAGTTCGATGTCCCTAAAGAACTTCAGGATCCATGTCTCCGCCGTAGACCTCTAATTTTGTCGTCAAGTATTCTGAAATATGTTGTTAGATGACGATGTTAAATGTGTTTTCTTTTCTAAGAACCTTGGTTTCGATCCTCTTCCGAACACTTTTGAAAACAACACCTCTCTCCACCCGTCTCGGCCATTCTCGCTGTACCCCCTCGGCCCAGCTCGTTCCTCCCTCGTCCCAGCTCGTCTCGCCTGGTTCCTTCGCCTCGACGGACACCTTCTTCTGCAAGGCGACCTCCTTTGCCTCTTCCGGCCGTGGCTCCTCAGCCGCGCGGGCGGATGCCGCGGATTCTGCGTAGCCCATCCGGTTTCGGTGTTGGCACCGGCATCGCGAACATGCCCTGGAAAGTCTGAATCCCCGTTGATATTCAGGGAGTCGGAGTTGGAGAGGGTCGGGGTCCCTATTTGGTAGACGATTTCGATCCCTGAAACCGAAGTGGAACGTCATTTGGCCCCGAAAAAAGAAACCTTGTTCCTCTTTATACTTCCCGGCGAGGCCGGTGCTGGCTCAGGTGGCCGGGAGGCCTTCGATGCGACGTACACTCCGATGAGCGACGACCGGAGAGCGGAGTTCACCATGAGTTCACCTGAGGGGAACATGGTCCAACGGGCTCATGGTGATCCGTGCTCTTCCGGTTCCATCCGTCCCGCACCTGTTTCCCCACTCCGTCGGAAGCCCAAGTGGCTGGATCCCAACCTCGGTCCAACCCGACGGCGTCGCGGGGGGCGGGGTAGCTCAACTGGATGCTTCGTTGGTACCTATAAACCCTACAAGGTTGGGCAAAGCCTCAGCAAAGACTGGCTTGATAGTCGCCTCGATGGTGTTTCAATGATTTTCAATGTGTTTCTAAGATACTATGAGTCTTCAGAGTTCAACCAAGATCTAACCCCCTCACTCCAAGAATAACCCCCGAGATCCCAAAATGTAAACTGCGACTCTCGGTGTTTGCTGCAACATTGTCCACTCAGAGGAGGATCGGATTTCTCTCCTCTATACTGCTACAATTACTACAAACAACCGTTGCTATTTTGCTTACTTGTAGGGGGAAGGAGGGAGAGAACAAACAGCGTTGGCGCCTGGCGGCAAAAAACACATGCTGAGTTTCACACGCAGAGAACAACCAACCTATTTGCAGTCCACAAGAAACCCTCCACTGTCAGAGGCTGAAAGGGGGGGGGTATACATCTACCCCTAGCTGGTAAGACGCCTTAAGCAGCTCAAACAGTTGAGATGTGTTTTGAAATCATCGGGCATCGCAAGAACGAAACATAGAGATCTATGACTATGGACTATGGACTATGGACCCCTTTCCCTTAGATCCTCAAGTTGGAAAAAAGAAGATCAAAAAGTGATTCAAGCCGTTTTCACCCCGGACAAATTCGTTCAGGGTGGAAACGGGAAACGCTTTTGACAGGTGTAAACCGTCTCATGTCATGATGGCAGCAAACATCAGCAAACTATCCGAGTCAACCTCAGGCAGCTACTGGATGTACCAGATTTCGTAGCTTTGGCTTCATCTTCGCCACTGAGCTCCTATCAACTTAGTGTGGCAACTGGACCCATGCGGTGATTGCACTCTGACTCACTGACTGGAAGTGGATGGCATGGTCCCTTGGAAGATTCGGAAGACCGCTTTCCTTTGCGAACAGGACTTTTTCTTCCACAATTACTGTAGTAGCTGTTACATCAGAGTGTAGAACTTCCAAACTGCTCAACCGCCAATCTTAAATCTCAGCCAATCTTGGCCGCCCATGTTGGCCCACAGGCGACATGGCCAAGAGACAATAGTTGCACAGGAAGGCGCAAAGACGACGCCAGCCACCCGCGCCACTGCCTGCTAAGGCGCTGTCCTGGCCGCGATTTTCACGCATGGACTCCAATGAACTGTGTCGAGATGTCTCAGAAAATCCGACTTCCATTGGCTTCCGTTTCGACCGGAAATCCTCTATTTGGATATTGATACAGCTCTATGAATAATCACATGAAAGAAACTCCAACACAAGAGTGGATATTCGTCAAACATGCACGGCCAATTGCTCACTTGCCAGTTTCGTTCACAGCTTGGTGGAGGATAGCTTGAATATGCTTGAATCCACAGAAAATCTTCGAAACCCCTGTGAAACATTGTAAAAAAACCCAAGACCCCGGTGGTGTGCCCAGGCCGCTCTGGTCGCACCCAAGACTCCCGCCGCCTCCGAAACACCCTTCGATCTACGCTTCACACGCAAACCAGCCAGGCGGCTCCGAACCGGTCCAAACCGCTGCGGGTCCTGGCCCCAGTACTCCTTCAGAGCCCAGCGGGCCGCCACCGTGAGGTCCGTGGTCATCTGCTGGATATTGAACTCCTCGGATCCGGAAAAGGACCGAGAACCCGATCGGGTGGACCGAGGCTGTTGGTTGGACAACGGGTGAACAGACGTAGACAGGGAGAAGGTTCGAAGCAGGGAAGCCCAAATGGATGACCCTAAGTTGAGAGCTGTTTTGGACGTGTTAGTCCAGGTCCAGGTAGGTTTCATCCATGGTCCATGGGTTTTGGCATGTTTTTGAGCCTCACTGGGGGCTCTTTGGATGCTGAAACCAACGAAGGGCTTCCCAAGGGCCTTTACGATGCCTCTTCAGGGTGCAGTGCCGTTCCCCCCACCGGGCACTCAGCTGGCCCGCTGGCCCCCCTAACTCAGCATCTTGGACTTGGACGTCAGTCCAAGCCGCCCTGTCCAAGGGAGCAGTCATCACAATCCTAACACCTATAGGCCTATATATACAGATTATACTGGAACTTCAGTTGAGTTCCGATACAAGGCTTCTAATCCTCGAGTTCCTCTCAGCCTCCCGGGCCCCTGGGTCTTTTTTCGCAAGCGAGTTCCACCGCCCGGACCTGGTTTTCCGTGCACACGGACCCGGTGTTGAAAGGGAAGCTACTAACAGTCCCACAACCCGCTCTGCCACGGAACCTGGATGGTTTCTTGTGGCAAGTCCTGCTTATGAGGGGATCCGCTGAACGCTCGTATGGAGATTGGTTGAGAAAAATTATCCATGCACCACAAATTTAAGCAATTCAAAAAGACTAAACAAAAGAGGTATGTTTGTTTCTCCCTTTGAACCAGGGCCTTTAGGTGTCTAGAGTTTATATGCATTTCATTGCATTTCTAATCATTTCTATATCATGCCCTCTCGAAATTTTTGAGGCCACCGGCATCTCGGCTGTCTCGCACACACCTCTCAAACGAAAACCCTTTTTGCTTTAAACGGGGAAGCCCTGGTTCTCTCTTCAGCTCTTCAGTCCACAAGGGTCTTTGACATAGGCATCGTAGTTGGAATCCAAGACATCTTGCAAGTTGAGATCCGTATGATGCCCCAAGAACTCCAACCTCGAGAGAGCGTTTTGGTCGCTTCTTGGGCGCATTGTGTTGGAACATCCAATCCAGAATATTTCAGATCTTTTCCAGGCGCTCTCACGATCAGATGCTGAATTTAAAGCCAAAGTCGGTGGAGAAAGGGCTCTGCTCCTGAAAACCCTCTTACAAGCCACTTGAGAAGATCCCCAAATCTATCGTCAGACCGTCAGAAAAGTGCGGCTCCAAACATATATGATCGAAACACATAGGTTTGGAGGTCAGAAAATATGTCCTTTGGCGAGTGCATCCTATTGAAGGTCTTGGCACCATTGCCAAATCTGCTCCTTTTGACCCTGAGTTGTGGATCGTGTGGGAAAAAGAACCGGCCAAAGGTCTGGAGTTTTGTTGGGCCTCTAGAATAGAATAGGAGCAAAGGACGCTACTAGGAGCAAAGGGCATCGCTACTAGGAGCAAAGGACGCTACTAGGGGCACAGAATGTCCTTGATTCATCAAGGACCAAAACTGCTTCCTCCCTTGAAAACTTTGGAATTCCTTGGAGGTTCTTCATTCCTGGCACATGAACCGCGCATTCCACAAAAGAAACAGACCACATACATAACTGAGCTGTGCACCAGCCAGCGATGTGATGCCCTCCTTCATAGGAGATCACCGTTGGCTTGTCATTGGTCTCCAGGGAGTCTTCTGTCACTGGAGTCTTAATGAGCAGCTTGACGACCTCGATGCGCTCCATGAGCAGCTGTGCTCGGTACCCAGTGGTACGATGCTCGGTGTTCATGGATTCTGTTTGCTTTCCGTGCATTGGAAGCGGTGGCTTTGCAAACACCGAAGGATGGCTAGTGCGGATTTATGTTTGCAAGAAAGCATCTGGAAACTTGATTGGAAGCCTGCGAAGGGTTGCAGGTTGTGAGTTGCAACCCACCTTGATTCCAAACATCATCTATTGGCAGAATTGGCCAAAACGCTCCCGTGCATCATGCAAGTTTCATGTCATATGTAAAACCTCTTGCTTCAAAGTGAGATGCACGTTAGACGAAGTTTCACTTCACTTGAAAACATTAGTCAGGAAGGTTCAATCCTCTCTCAAGCAAAGGCTAGGTAGACAAAAATATCTGAAACCACCACGCATGGAAGGAAATTCCATGGATTTTCCGGGTCACCTAGTTATATACTAGTTACTAGTTCGTTGCACTCTTACTTTCATCTGAGACTTTTTAGAGATCTCAAGGAAATACACCCCAAAAAACACCCAAAAGCACCGAGGTCAATACCAACTCCGCCACCTCCCATCTTCCCCACGGACTCGTGCTGCCTCGCGTTCGCCGTCTCCACCGGTCTGACCGGTGGGCGCCGGGAGACCGGGATGTGGTGCTCCGGGAAGTAGCGCCGGTCCACGTCGTTCTCGTCGATGTTCATCACGCCGATGGTCACCGCGGAGGAGGATTGCAGCAGCTTGGCCAGCGCGAACCTGACCGCGCCGGCGCGGTCGGCGGGGTCGACTGGGATGGCTGGGAGGGCGCCCATGGGTGCCAACCGGGTGCCGCTTCGATCCGATCGCCCAAAGAGTTGACCGAATAAAAGGTGGCACGGCGGGCGGATTCACCGGGTGGACCGGCTGGGCACCTAAGAGGTGACTGTTTACACGCCACAGTTCCTGAAAGTTCCAATCACCAATCACCAAAACAGGCAACAGAATGATTGGATTGGCTACAAGTAGTAGGCTTCATCTTATTATCCCAACCAGTCAACCTCTTGCTTGGGCGGGTGGATGGTGCATTTGAACAGGGCACAACCAAAGGTTCTCATTTTGCATTCACTTCGGGCTCGTGAGGAGAAAACATACCGTTGTGCCCCACGGGCCTAGTGGTCCACAACCCGCCCAAAAAGGACACTGCCTGGGAGCTCCCCCTTTTACAGGGCTTCAATCGGAATGAAATCAACCATGTGTGGCAACGTACCGTGCAATCCGATAGGAGGAACGTACCGTGCTGGCAAGCTGATTGCAGGAATGGTGTTTCATTTCCTGGGTCGTACATAGGTCACTGTGGGTTCAGGTGACAACCTTTTCATAGCTCGCATTGATCTTCAGTTGGATGATCAAACTGAAACTGCTTCAAATCTTCATAATCCAACACATGACCTTTCAAACAAACACCAAATTACAATGAATCTTCAAAAGAAACCCGTCAATCATAAAACAAACATCAGTGGCTGTCACTGGCCTTCAAACAGTCCTTCTTCTTGCTAGGAACTCATTTCGGAGTGTCCCGATTCCCAAGACACTTAGCTCAAATACACTATCTCTTATGTTTTTAGGGCCCTATCTCGTTTAGACTACTTATAAGCAGGAGGTCATGTCACGGTATCTCGTTCAGATTACGTTAGTAGATGTTAGTAGCAAATCTCGTTCAGATTACTTTAGTGACATCATGTGACATCAAGCAAAAGATAGCAAAAGTATCTTGTTTATGTGGGGGGGCCCTATCTCGTTCACAAGCGAATACTGATGATAGACAAACAAATAGAGCATGCCGTAGACTACTTTAAAGCCTAAATAAAGCTCATATGGGGGCTGCAGATCCATGCTTTGAAATGTGCCAAGTAGCCACTGCGGCTTCATCTGTTGGCATGCGCCACACCAGTCTGCAGAGACACAAAGGAAGACCTGCAGAAAGTGCAGTGAAAAGCAGGGGACGCCACTGGCAGGGTGAGAATAGCTCTGTATGACTTTGATACAGTTTGATGGGGCACACCCAATCTTGAACACCCGATCTGGATGGATTGCACGTTCCCCGTTCTGCGCAGTACACCCCCTTGGTCTCCTCCCTTTTCGGATAGAGACAGGACGTCCTCTACGTCGCACCCAAGAAGAGGAGCAAGAAGCTCTAAACCTTCCAACCGTGGAGAGCAGATGCCCTATCTTCTAAGAGGTGGTTTCACCGATCCATGTTTCAGGCAACTGGGTCGTGCTGCAGCGTCTCAAAACGGAGAAAACCAATGGATGCGAACGGCCGTGCTGGTCGTGCTGCAATGTCTGGCGATGTGGATTACTTTTCGGGACCAATGGCAGTGGACCAGAAACAGCTCCCATGTGCAGTGAGTTGCGATGTGAGTCGGGACCATCACGGGATGTGAGTTGCGATGACTCGACTCGGACCGTGTTTGTCGCAGTGGACGAGCTCCGTTGAGTTCCGTTGCCCCCCCCCGCTGCAGAGACCGCACGCTCCTCCCCGCACGAAGAGATCGCGAGCTCCGAAGGGCTCGAAGAGTGCAATGCGGAGAGAGGGGTGTTTCGGGGCTCGAAGCAGTAAACACCCATCCAGTGGGTGGAGGAGTTGAAATCAAACCTTCCAACCTCTCAAACCTCTCCACGTTGAGAGGCTGGTTTCGACGGATCCAGAGAGGATCCTTCGACGGCCGGGAAACCAAAAACCACCGAAACGGCTTCGTGACATCCGCCTTCTTGTCCTTCTCCAGGATCTCCTCGAAGGAGTCTGTGGTGAAAATCTTGATGCCTCCCAGGTTGCGCCAGAAGTTCCGCGCTTGCCGCGGAACCCGTGGCTCTTCAGCGGTGTTGTCAAACCCGTGCAACTCGCTCCATCGAAAGTCTGGCGCCAAGTCGTTAAGATCTTCAAATATCGAACGGAAGCAAATGGTAGATGTCGTTGACCTGGCCCCACCATGAACACCTGAAATCCATAATATTCTGTTGGCAAAAAACTTTTGCAGCTGCTGTCGTTGGATTGCTGGACTTTGAATCCAACAGTGGCCCTGAACTTCCATCGGAGTGGACCTCAGCTTATCATCCGAGTCCCATCGGGTATATCCAAGCTTCTATACACAACTAAAGGATACTTAAAGGTATGTCAAGGTGAGGTTCCCACATAAACAGGTAGAAATGGATTCAGGGAAAACCACAGTCCAAGAGGTCTGAGGTCTGTGGGATGTCTCCTGTCTCACCTGCCCGTCAGCAAAACGCCTGGATGTCGAGGGTCTGTATCTCCCGGAGGCCGGAACGCGCTGCGCACGCGCTGCGACTTGCAGCGCCAACAGCTGGACAAGGAGGCCGAATTCCTGTGTCGCGTCGGCGTCTTGGGGTGGTGGTTCTCTTGGGGCGGTGTTCTAGCGGCTGCTAAGTGGAAGGTGAGTCTTGCAGTCTTCGGGGTCTTGGAAATGGCGGACGGTGGGTTGAGAATGTCACTTAAACATAGTGTCAGATTGGCTAGCAGGTCTTAATTGCTCAGTCGAAAGAGGATTCACCAAACTGCAGCAAATTCTATCACCTTCTTCCTCCTTCTTCCATTGCATGTGTTCGTGTCTGACAAGCCCCATCGGGTTTGCAGTGTTCGATGGCGCGATCTCCTGGTGAAAAGCCCATTGGTCTTGCAAGTGCCCTGAGCACGACAAATCCACACGCCCAAGGGCATCTGTAAAGCCCAGGTGTTGAACAAGTCCGGCGCCAGAGTCCTCGGAGAACTGCGATCTGATCGCAGCAGGTGGTGGAAGGACTGAGTCCGGACGGAATCGTTTTGAATCGTTTGCAGGTCAACGGTCAACGGTCCATCCGGACCGCTGACATCCTCTTGAGGGTTGCTTTCACCGATGGACCGGCAGAACGGTGTTTCGGTCGGCGATTCGGGTCGGATCGCTTGGACCCAAGGCACTGAAGTTGAAGGCCTTTAATCTGTGCGCCCAACCTAGGATTTGCGGCACGACACCGACATCTTCTCGTGCGAAAACATGAAGAAAACCAAGTGTCAAAAGGCCAAATGCATCATCTAACCGGTTGTCCCGAGCAACATCCAGCTCCATTCTTTCTTCAAGAAGGGCTTCCGTCCAAAGAGGCACAGCCCTTCCTGTCGGCCGAAGACGATTCTTGCGATGTTCGTGAGGTTTTAGGATTCTCGCGATGTGCGGGGAGAGGGCTTCGCAGTGTGATATGAGACAGAGACGCTAGGACAATGGCACAGTGAACACCCAAACGCACCAGCACTTCCAAGACAAACTTTGAGGGTGTCTACCTAAGCGGGGCGTGCTTGTAGTGAAGTGAACATACCAAAGCCTCCAGAAAACACCTGGACCTGTTGGAGGGTCCTGGTACAGGTGTTGTCACTTGGGAAGCAGCCTACTGCAGCTCTTCACGTTGGCTTGCCCAAGCCTCAGCGACTTGGAGTTTGGGTTCCAGAGCCAGCTAGAGGTGCCAGAAGGTTTCAAGATTAACCCGTCTCACCTTCTTTCTTCAGCCTCATCAAACTGAGTCTACCATGGTCTCACGGTGAACTGGTACTTCACCCTGCAGAACCGGACCCGGAACCCTTTGGGCCTTCACCCGTCGACCGTCCGCGCCGTCCGCGCCCCATCCGATCCGCGGCGTCTCTCCGCTGCTCCGTCCTGTGGATCCAAGCTCAAGGGTCCGTCGCAGCGCAGCAAGGGGCTGGAAGGATCACAGATCTCCAAAGCCACTTCGCCTCACCGTGACGATTCGGACTGGAAGAAAAAGACGAACCATGTCTCGCGCGCTGCATGTTATATATATATATATAGAGTGACGGAACATTTAAGTCACGGGTCGCTGTCCACCGGCAGCATTTCTTGGTACCGCGGACGACTGGAGATGGACGGAACCTTTTTCTGAGGTGACGAGGCATCCTCACCGAGGCGAGACGAGACCAAACGGGGCGACGAGCCGTCCGGAGGTCTTTCTTTTTGGGCGAACGAGAACGCGAAACCCTAGAAAAGGGATCGCATGAGATCGCATGATCCATGCACTTGGAGGTCCTAGACGACTTGTCCTTTCTTTTGGAAGTACGGTATTGGACAAATGATCAGATCATTATCCTATGTGTTCATCCTATTCTGAGCCTTAAAGATGTCTCTCACCTCATGAGTTCCTTCCTCGGGTCGTCTCAAACGCCAGTCGCTGGTGACGAGGTGACGTCACCGAGGATACGTTGGGTTCTGCCGAAGCACGGCTCGTCATCCACTGGAACCCTAATTCTTGTATGTGTTAATATTTCTCTGTGGCACAAGCTTCCAGGTGATTCTCAGCAAGTTCCACCCCCCTCAAAGCTGCATTTGACTGGTTTTGAGAGCACTCGTCCGAATTCTTCCTTACATCTTACACAACCACATCAACCCCCAAAAAAGATCATCCACATCGCAGTCTGTGTCACGTCCGGCTTCAGCCCACAATCCCCCAGTCAACCAATGTTAACCATTCAGACCGAAAAGAATCCTGAATCCTCCTTGCCACCCCAAAACCGAAGCATCATCGCTATAAATACGAAAAAAACCGTGCAGTTCAGCGGCCGTCCACCCAAATGGTCATCTTGGAACTGGGCAAATCCACCGCCAAGGTCAAGGCGTGCCAATGTCCCGCCACGATCTTCACCCCGGAGGTCCACGGCACCTGCCGCGCCACGGCACGTGCCGTGCACGGGACCGGACCGGTGGACGTCGACGGCGACTCCACACAGGTCGAGCCCGACTTCCTCGGAGAATGACCGGTTTGAATATGGTGTAGCAAGGACGCCACTACTATAGGGCTCCTGGGAGCAAAGACGCTACGAACGGGGCTCCTGGCCATGTTCTTTCCCCGACGTCCACCGTGCACCGGACGGCCATGGGACGACCCACCCGACCCACCGCGCGGCATCGCATCCGAAGAACGGACGCACGGACGCCATGGCACGAGTTTGTTCTTTCCGGAGCTGCCACTGCCGCGCGTGGAGGTGTCGAACCAACTGGCTTGGCCATTGCGTCTGCGCGGCGGGTGGTAACTGGTCTCCTGCCGTGCAGAGGCTGAGTGGTTTTTTCGGTGGTTGAGGAGGCATGGAAGGAGCTTCGACGGTTTTTGGTTTCTTCGATGGATGTCGAATCGATGCCCAGAACCCTTCACATCCCTCACTGTTTGGTCTGAAAAGAAAAAAACACGTCGGCTCGCTTCGAGGGAACTTCAGGCCCGCCGTGATTGAACACTCGCCTACATCCTGCCCCCTTGCAAGGTGGTGCAAGGAAGGTAATCTCTTATCGTTTTGCATCCAGAGACAGATGATTGAAATCTCTAGCGTCATCATGTTTCATCTGTCACTCAGTCTTTTCTTGGGTGTTGCATCAGTCTGTTCTTGCAGTGAAGCATCTCGAGTTGAGCATCAGTTGGGCATTTACAGCTCCCCAACTGGCTGCAATGCAAAGGACTTGTGCCAACAAAACACCAGCCTTGAACCCTCCAAGGAGAACTTTTGCTTCTCCATGCTTTCATCCTTCCTTTTTTTCCCCATCTTTTCCTCAATAGCCATGATACTTGAACAACATCCCCCAAAGGTTCATTCAACACGCAACTAACTTGGACCACACTGGTGCTGAAAAAATAGACCTGAGCGGTCGACCTGCTTTTCGCAAGTGGTCGTCCAGCAGCACTTGAATGACGAACTCGGACAAGGCCACATCCCATGGCAGTTCCCTGCCACAACAAGGAGCTCAATCTGCCCGTCTCTCCGTATGAATTGCAAGGGCTTCCCCAGAATCCAGGGCCCCAGATTCCAGTATTGTGTTCGATCAACCGCCATGCCTTCCCAGGTGGGTACCTTCCTCCCCTCGGACGACTCGTTCCTCTCCTGGCTGTGGAGCACCTTCCAGGTGCTCTGATCGTTCGAGGCTTCCAAGCGCCACTCGACGGGATCCAATTGCTCATCGCTCAGGGCGGTGCGGAAGCTGAAGCTGTCGATCAAAACCTCACACGTGGAACGGCTTGGGTGGTTGGGTGTACCGGGTGCGGGAAGGGCGGGGAAGGGCCTCCAAGAGGGGGGCGGTTCAACCATAAACAATGATGCCATGTTCTTCTGATTCTCCTTGAGGAATTCCCAGGAAGCCCTAGGCCCACCAAGTTTCACGATATCCTACGACCCATGAAATGGAAGCTGTGCGCTGGACAATGTGCAGCTTTTGGGGGTGGCCCCGTTTTTGTAAATGGGAGGCCGTGAAGTGTCTTTCGTGTCATGATTTGCATATCTCTGAATGTAATCATAGTCCCGGAACCCGTACTGAGAGAATCACGAATCACCAACACCTCCTCCTCCTCCCACAAACACATTCCTTCTCTCAGCTCAGCGGCAGGCTTTGGCATTTTGATCACCAATGGACTCAACACGGTGCTATGCCAACGAGTGCTCGTCCGCCCATCGATGGCGTTCTGCGGACCCTCCGTGTCGCTGAACTGTCCTCGCTGGCGCGTACCCGGAGGTGAACAAAGGCCCCATGGAAGTGAACGTGCTACGTAGAAACTTCCTTCGTGCACATGGCCTAATGAGCTGGTGAGTCCGCTGTCCGCAGTTCCCATCCCAGTCAGCAGTAAGGCCTTTTTTGGGGGGGGAGGAAACAAAAGGATCTGCTAGGTGGCATACTTTTGCTCCCAACAAATTCTCATTCTCACAACCTGTGAATCTTCTTTCTCCAGACTTCAAACCTTCAAACCTAACGTTTTCCTTTCTGCTTCACTCCGAAGAAACCAACCGAAAAAAAATTAACGGGGAAAAAAAGACACCGGTGTTTGGAACATCTGGAACTCCGTAACTCGGAACTCTCAGTCACTCTCAGTCAGATGGTGGCTTGACCTTCCACGCCCCAGGCGCCATCGGGATTCTCGGCCGTCGCTTCGGCCAGGTCGATCTCGACGCCCTCGCGGCGCAGGAGCAGCTGCCCCAAGCTGACGCCGTTCACCGTGTCGCCCCCGCGGGCTTTGCTGACCACGAAGCGGAAGAACTTGAAGCCTGGGATGCTTTTTCGGGTGGGTTTGGGCAGAGTCAGGCGAAGAGGGTGGGAAGAATTAGCTGGCTTTTTGGGAGGGGAGTATGGTAGTTATACTAGTATACTGGATGGCTGGATGAGTGGCCAAACAGTTGGAAAAGTTGGACGGGTGTGAAGTGCTTGGCCTTTGCTAATGACTACCTCTCTGTTGACATTTCTACCCGCAATGCGTCAGAGCTTTGATTATCGAGAGAAACGGGTTGGAGACGGTGAACTACGAGAGAGAGAGAGAGGAAGAAAGCTGGGAGACTACCAATTTGGGTCTATCTCAACATACAACTGCAGAACTGCAAGTCCCAGACTGGCAAAAGGAAAAACACTGGATGAACAACTGGATGGAACACCCAGCGGTGGGCGGTTCAAACATCCGCCCCCAGCGGCTGGGGGTGGCGACCGAAAGCACCAACGCCATGCCGGCAAGGCCCTCACTTCAGCGATCTGGGTCATCAGTTAACACGATGAAATGTCCTTGCCATGCCTTATTCCTTGTCCTGTTTGCACCAAGCCAGCTCCTGCAACCTTGCTCTGGCACTCCTGCTTGAACATTTGGAGATCCCGAGATCAATCGGGTCCTGTCGGGCGCCCTTTCGGGTCCTGGATGACGCCGAGGCCTAAGGTCTTCAACGAGTAGGACTCCTTGATTTGACGTAAGAGGAGGTGGAGAGAATAGGGATAAACAAACAATCAACACCTACCAGGCACCCCGTCTCTGTTGGAGCACCCCCCACTGGAGATTCGTCAGAAAGCCGTTGGCGTCACCCCGCTTCTCGAGGGCATCGATGGTGGAGGGCAAGGGCGTCAAGCCTGGCGCATTGGAGGACCGTGCGCTCCTAGAAGCTTCACGTAAATGGAAAATGGTCCACCTATGAAGCGTATGTACCTAGAACCCATTTGACCTCTGGTTTGATAGGAAAAGACCATATTTTGGGTGGTTGGTGGTCCAAAATAGAGGTCACTCAGGTTCTAAGTATATAATAGTATATACTATTATATAAAAACCTATAAAATGTATATACACAATGACAAGAATTCTCTTTCCGAGGGTCTTTGAAGGAAGCTTTCTCTCCAGATGTAGACCCTTCTTTCGTTTGGAGTTTCAAGAGGTTTCGACCAAACGCTCCAAGAACAGCCCCGTCAGCAACGGGGAGCACACCCCAGGCCCGGGCTTCCTCATCCCTCTGCCAACAGTGAGCTCAGACCCAGAGTCAAGCAAGTGATAGATACATGAAACACATTGAAACACCGAGCGCTTGAAACACCGAGCTCGTGGCCAAATGCCATTCAAAATGACATCTGCCCAAAGAAACCAGCTCCGAGCTCACGATCCAAACGCTGAAGACTGGTCGCTCTCCTGCACTTTTTAGGACCACGACGCCCATCGGCGGCGTCCACCCCTGCAGCCCCGCCTGTGCAGAGACGCCCAAGCGCTTCCAGGGAGACTGGAGACCATCCACCGCTGTGGCGGATCCACTTCACACCACTCCTGAGGGCATGCCACAGGAGAGCGGCGTAGCTGGCGTTTTTGGTGTGCGACGTTTGACAATAGGTGTTTTTTTCGCGTGCCTGCCAAGTTCATGATCCTCAAAAAGTATACGTCATACTTCAAGGAAAGTCCCCCAACGGGCCAACACACCAACACACCAACACCATCCAGCGCCGCCCAGCGGCTCATCTTGTGTGCCCAGCTCTTCGAAACCCCACTGCGCTTGGAGCGACTCGGCACCTTCCGCTTGGCGCGAGGGCTTCACCTGAAGCGGTCGCGTGGCGGAGCGTGGCGGAGAGCGTGGGCAGACCAGCCCAAATCAGCCCGCGGGAAACGGGAGGCCATCCAGGGCTTCTGGTGCGGTCTGGGGCTCCCGGGGGGCGTGGTTGGAAGTGCTGCAAGAATGTGCCACAGATGTATCCCAGCAAGGAAAAGTCGAAGGCGGCAACTCTGAGGAACATCAAACCCACATCTAAACATGAACCCAGAGCTTCGTACCCTCAAAACAGTTGGGTGTTGCTTAAGGCCCAGATTCTTCCAGGGGACCCAGGATGGATCCAATCAACCTTGACCTCTGCAGTGGTTGATCGCTTCATCCACTTGAGGTCTCCCACCCCGTGGTCCAGGTGGCATAGACTGGCCAGGTCTCCACGTTGTCCGGCAGCGTGACCTCTGCGTTCCCCACGGAATGATCCCCGCAGGCCCGGCCCAGGCGTGTTCTTGGTCAGAATGGAGCGACGGTCCAGAAGACGGTCCAATAGTTGGACTTTCAATCACAGTAATTATAGCATCAGCATTTATGTGAATTTTTATTAGGTCGTGGTCCAATTCCATTCACTTCCACTTTACGTGGCCCAGCCCGCGCAGGTCGTCGAAATGCTTTTCTGCAGCAACATTAATGACTGAAGATGCGATGGGAGAGCTCCCATGAGCTCCCAGGTCCATTCCTCTGCTAGTTCCCAGTTCCGTCCACTGGTTCAGAGCTTCTGATGTTGCCTGGATTTGGATGGTACATGATGGCGGTACAATGTACTGTAGCAGTATGTTACGCCATGTCAGTCACTTCCTCTTGTCACCTCATACAATCAAGTAATCGCATCACTCGATCAACACGCCCGATCACCCTGATCCAGAACACCGACCTCGGCACTCCACGGCGAAATGGAGGGTGAACATATGATCCACCTCCCAGAAGCTCATGGCGCTTCCAAAAATACGACGGAGAGGATTTCTGGTCTAAGGGTTAATGTTTGAGGTCCTCAAAAACGTTCCCAACGGTCTTAGACTGGGGGTGCCCAGTGGGTTCCTCCTCTGCCTTTTGGGACCTCTCATGACCTCCGGTCCGGTGGGATTTTCCGGGCGCGTCCCGGTTCGCTGCAGTCTGGCCACGCGCCACTGTTTCCGGAGCTCCATGAGCTCCGCCAAGGGCCGGAAGGCCTTGGCCTCGGAGCAGCGGTTCCGGCATTGGTGGTGCGGTTTCGGGCTGCGAACATGGAATATGATGTGGGTGGGTGTCAGATGGTGTTAGGTTAGCTGGAGTGCAAAAAGGGATGTGGGAGATTGAATCTGAACTTTTGGAATTTGTCTTTGAAGCCGTGGACATGAGAGTCGAGCCCAAGAATGAGCTCTTCATGTGCCAAATCCAATGGTGCAGGATTTCTCACACGAAGTGAAAACCGTTCACCTGAAGTTTCAAGCTCAGGACTGAGGACCCCCCAAAATCTGTGGGTGGTTCCAGTCCTATGTTTCTTTCGGCTCATGTTTAAACTCAATTTCTTCGTCCCAAACGGTTCAAAGCGAGGCCACGTGTCATCCTCCGTCCTCTCGCTTTGGGAGCCGTTCCCCAAGTGTTGTGGCACATGATTTTGGCTGCGAAAAAGCGGACCCAATAGACCAATGTCCTCAACATGGAGCCCTCAACATGAGAAGCCCCAAGCAATCAGCTCTTATACTTGGAAAGAGTGGTAGGCTGGTTCCTGAAGCATCGAAAGGGCTGGCTGAAAGACTTTGGGAGGCCAACACACAGCTGCACCTGTGTAGCAAAGCAAGTTGTGTCTTGGATTCTTTGATGGTACAATGTCCACTAGAACTGGTGCTTTGTTGTTTACCAAAGATCTCAGAAGCTACAAACGAGCTTGTCTGTTTATCTGCGCCCGGCCATAGAGCATCGGCTGTCCTGCGACCGAAGCCTTCCATCTTCCACCTACGTGGGTGACCACCTCTGCCTCTTCCGTCCTTCTCAAAGCTGCTCACCCCCCTCTCTCCCATCGAACAGCCCCGTACCACACCCTCTCTACCCGTTTCCAAGGGACTGGAGGTTGAAGCTTAAAGGGTTGTTGTCCAACGTTCACCATCATGTTCCCCTTGTCCCCTGGGGACAGAAGTGCCTCAGGACACGGGCAGGGTCGATGGCGATCGTCGGGGTCCAGTTGAACAGAAAGCGAGACGGCCAAGCTGATACCATTGGTGCAGCTTTCGAGATGCTCCATGTAGTTATTTTGATCATGTATGATAGTGGTAGACAACCACTGGTAGACAACCACCTAATCGATAGATAGATACCCACTGGGTCTTTCTACGAATCTTCAAGATATTGCAGTACTCAAACTCTTTGTGCCTTCATCACGATCTCATCTTGAAGGAGCCAGAGTGATGCTGATCCGAACACGCTAACTTGACGCCATTCGCAAAAATGTGCTCTTTCCTTCTGCAGTGAGAGTGTGTCTCACACACCCTGCCACAAGAAAGCCAACAGTCTTGTTTCACACCCCGACTTCCCCTGACAATGTCGCCCAAGCACGATCAATGGAAGTCCAACCTCTTTGGGCATTTCTTCCTCTGCGAGTTGAAGAACTTGCTCAAACTGCGGCTTGTCCACGGTGGCCACCCTTTTCGGTCGAGACGACGCCGTACGACACCGTACGAGACGGTACGAGACGTACGATGTACACTGGCCACGACGCCGGTTCGTGGGACGAAGAGGTGGATGATGATTGGTGCAAACCGGGCATGCCAAACGCACGCCCCAAGTGTTTCACAAAAAGTGTGACAACCCCCCCAGATCATCCAGGAAGAATGACTTGGGTTGCTGACCTTCTTTTGGGACTGGAGCATTTGGAGTGGTCCCCTCATCTTGAGACCAGCCAAACTGGAGAGATGGTCCGCATGGTTCAAAACGGTGGACAACAAGTCACCAGGCCCACCCCGAAAGAAGAAGAGAATCGGTTTGTCTAGTGTAAGACATTCTTGAAAAACACATATTGTCACACGTGATCCATTGCATTGTCTCTTCCAGCCCTCCGACCGACACCACGGAGGCCCGAGAACGCTTCCTTTCGTCTCCGCCGGGACCGGTCGACCCACCGACCGCGGGACCCGGTCGACGGATGCCGGCCACACCGAGGGGCTGCACGGTGCCCTGCTCGCAGTCGACGGCCACCGAAATCGTCACGCCATCCTTCCAGGCGGCGCCTGGGTGACATCTGAAGGAGGCGGAAGTGAAGAGGTGGATTAGTCTTTTGGGGTGCTCCAGCTGAAGGGGTCAAGCAATTGGTGTTAGAAGCAGCATGTTGCGGAGATGTTCAGATGTCCAGTCGTGTCACTTGAAAAACGAAATTGGACTGGAATTGGTTAACTTTATTGGAGAGCAAGCCTCAGTGAATAGAACAATGAGGGGCACAATGGGGAGATAAGAGCATTAATTAGATGATTTGCCACGGCTAGATGATCTAGATTTGGATTTATCCTCATAGACTCATAGAGCGGGCTTGCACTCACCCATCGAGGCATCCCTCCCTATAAGGCTCACCGAACGAATCCGTCGTTGGAAACACCCCTTGATGCTCCATCTTCCAAGCTGCTCTTGCCATCGTCCTTGCCATTGTGGCGGCACACCCCATTGTTCATCAAGGCAAATGTGCCCATGTCCTGCCGGGGAGCTGGACATAGGCACAAAGAGAAACCCTCGTCCCGTGTCTCGTTCAGAGGGACTGGATGGGGAGCTTAAAAGCTATCAGGCTACCACCAATGTGCCTCGGATGGTATGGTTGAATCTTTTCGCCTGAGTTGTCACGGGTGAAATCCGAGATCCTCCCGTGCTTGGGGAACCAGTAGCTTCTTCAAGATTGCTGCAGACTGTGAAGATCAGAGAGGAGCAGCAACTTCCTCTTTAAGGTGCAATCTACTGACCAACTGCAAGTGGGGATTCTGACTGCCTAGGGCAGCATCAATGCCATTCTTACAGAGGGTTCCCCAAATTCTAGCTGGGCAACTCTACAGCAACTTGAACGCGGTGCGGAATTGATGCATTATCAAGCTCAGGCCTGTATGGTGGAAAGCATGCAGTTGGCATAAAAACAAACATGTGTTCAATTGGCAGACCGTTTTACTTACTGTTTGTTTTCCTCACCGGCCTTTACATCTGACGGACTGGCCGCCCCGAATCCCCGTTGACCACCACCACGTCCTACATCACCTTAAACGAAGCTATCAGTGTCCATTTTCGACATGACATGACATGACATGACATGAGCCAAGATATCAAGTCTAACAGTTTGGAACTGCTAGCCTGGTGTGGGATTGCTTCCTCACCATCGCGAGCGCATGTCGAGTCTCGCAACCACACCCACTCTGGAGTATAAGCGTTGTGAGAAGCGTGGTGTAGGATTGCTTCGATCAACTTTGAAACCTTGACTTGAATCAGGATATATAATCAGGGATCCAATGTAGTCTCATATCTTCGATTATATTCAGCATGTGCGTTGAGGCACTCCCTGAAAACGACATACCGAGAAGTACCAAGTCCAAGCCCAAGTCAGACCCTTCAGAAATTATTGGAGATGAGCCGATGAGCTTCACGAGAACCGCAAGGTGAATGAATAAGTAAAAGCCCCAAAATGATCGTGCAAGTTGTTAGTTTGAACAAGTAGGAAGATGTGACTGTCCTAGGGGTTGAAACATGCCTACAAAAACATACGTTGACAGTACAGGGGTACAGTACAAGCTTCCACACGCCCTCCATCCACGAACACCCTCACCTCCCCTGGGGAGTAGTCGTCATCCTGGGATAGATCGGTGGCGATCGCGGTGGGACAGGCTTGAGTATCACTAGCTACTGGTGTGGGCATGGTGAACCGGTGAACCGATTCAGCTGAATTCTCCCACCCCCGTTGGGGAAAGAAGAGCTGAGCTGACGCCATGGCCTTCTGGCCATATCTGTGATCTTCTCAAGTGGGGATCCAGCACTCGCGGGGGAGTTGAGCTTTTCTTGGTGCAGTCTCTCTGCCAAAGAAATGAAACAACACTCTTCAGCTATGCGACAGAATCACATTCCACATCGACCGCAGTCATACGCAGTCCACATCGACCACGGCTTTTTCGTGAACGCCGAAGGTCCGAAACCGTTCTTTCCATGGGCAACCCTCGTCACCTGTGCGACATCCCCGACCACCGTCCTCGGTATGGTCAAAGCCCATAGCGGGAGGATGTCTGACATGAACAAAATGACTGTTCGAAGACGCCCAGCGGGGTTTGTCATCAGTTGGAACATAACCGAGTATTGGCCCTGAATGTCAAGTCTTCCTCACCTGGAAATTTCTGCTACAATTGGAACGTCCGTCAAGACATGTCATAGAAGAAAAACGTCGGACATGAAACTCCTTCCACTCCTCCCCGAATCGTCTCACTCAAAACCTCACTCAAAACCCTCTCCCATCACCACTCTCTCCCCGCTGCAAAGCCCGAGCTGCGGCGTTCTGCAAGGCGAGGCCGATCAAGGCGCCGTCGCCCACCTTCTCACAGCTGACCTCGAAGTAGACCTGGCGGTCCGACCGGGACGCGTCGCGCTCCAAAGGGGTCCGAAGTGAGGTGCGGAGAGAGGTGCGATCTGCCCAGGATAGGAAGATGTGTGGATCTCGTGGTGTGGAGATGGGGAGATACGCACGATGACCTGCTTGTTTTTGGTGAAACAATCAAGCTATGCATATAGATATGCTGCTATCGTAGGCGGTGTTCTTTAGACCCAACAAATCCAAACCAGCTCATTCGAGTGCTCCAAGAATGACGGCCGAGTTCAAGGGATCGACTGGCGAACTCGCCTGCTTCGACCATGACGAACCTGTGGGAGACTTACGGTACGAGTGAGACAAAGATCCACCAAATCGATACGAGTCCAAGCAGTATCAATTGTAAGACTAGATCCAGAATCAAGTCTAAGCAAGATCTAGTCAATCTAGTCCGACTATTTCAGAATCAATTTAAACATGTACATTTCAAGACTAGAACTCCAGAATCCACCCCACTCCACCCCTTCACTCCGCCCGCTGTATCTTCCTGCTCCATGGAGCCCCTTGAAGGATCTCCAGAGTCTCTACAGTCATTACTGCCCCTTACTATACTACTACAGAGAAGAAACATGAAGAAACCATATACACCATTACTGTGGAAAGAAGCGAGAGGAACATCCTCTCGCCTCAGATCCTCGCGCCTCAGATTTAAAAAAAGAAGGCCACGGTATTGTTACACGACATGTTTGATTGAAATTTGTGTCGCAAAAGGTTCCAGGTCGGTGACTGTGTTGGTGTCCTTTTTTCGTCGCAACGTGTGAAGAGCGGAACACGCCCCGGTGCCGCGGTCCGGTGGAACCCTGTCCACCTTCCCCGACAGCTTGAAGCGGTCCAGCGCAGCGACTTCGAATTGACGGCGCTCGTCCTCGTCCTCTGCCTCGTTTGGGTCAGTGGAAACACACGAGCACAAAAGCCAAATTGGATGTCCAAAGACTTAAAGATGTCCAAAACCATCCTGCTTGGTACACTAGCTAAGGATCTCTGTTGGACACCCATTGGATGGTCCAGGTATATACTTGTCCTTAGTGAAGTAAAGGAAACTCCAGTTCAGACCATTCTGGCTTCAAGTCTTTGACTCCTAGGGGGATATATAGCTTTCGGGTTCTCTCCCAACCCCTTCAAAACGATGCTCCGCTGCAAACAAAGAGACCCTTTACCACCCTCCACTTTCGTGATTGTTGGACAGGAGGCAGGGTGGATTATGGATATGCATGGATATGCTTTATCAGGGTCTCCTCCCCCTGCACCCTCTAACAGGTTCAGGAGGGTCCAACCACCTTCTGAGAAGGTCAACATGTGTAAACGACAACGACCTTGCTGGTGACGTTCCGGCTGTCAGGTCCGAGCTTTGGAGAGGTTCTTCTTTGCGCCACGTTCTACTCTGCCTTCCAAACAATCTTTGTTGACCCCATAATTACGCATACCTTCGCCACCTGTGTGACGATCCTTCCCCTTTGCCTCTTGAAAAGTTCTCCAAAACCTTCTTGGCCAGCGGTGAGCCACATGTTTTCACTCCCTCAGGCACCTTCGCCACCGTCTGCTTCTCGCAGCGAGAGCACACAGCGACGTCGCAGCCTTAGCAGAAACGCCGGTGACTGGGGGCTCCAATGGGGATGTGTCCCACGGAAGTCCGGTACTAAATGTGAGGTAATCAGTACGTAGTAAATACGTAGTCATTTCTGTAGTTTGACTTCGTTTCTTCGAGGTTCGGGACAACCATTTCTTTTGAGAAGGGTTGCAATCACCCAAACTGGGCAGCGGGAGCTTTACCCACGCTGGTGCCAGGAAGGGCGCTGCCCCACACACTGGTGACCAGCTCTTGAAGCAGAGCTGGGAAGGACTTCTTTCTTTGGCCAACAAACAACTTGTCCTGCCCGCAAATGGAAGATTATGATTATGCAAGCCCAATGGATGGTTCGTGGGCCAACTCGCCTCCACCGGCGCTTGTCATCTAAGAATTAAATGATCGATTTAGGGTTTCTTGGCTCTCGAGAGTTGATCGAAATACTAGCAAGGCTTGGTCTCTGGTCTGGTGCTCGTTTGCTCCTCCAAACGTTCACATATAATTAAAACATATTAAAACGAACAGTTGCCATCTCATTAGTTGCCATCTCATTGGCTTGTCCCTGGACCAGATCGGCTTTTGGGCCCAATCTTATTAAAACCAATCCCAAGAGGCCGTTTTCTTTGTGGGTCTTCTTCTTATGAACGAAGAATCTACATGAAACATCTTCCGGAAAAAAGGGCCATTGCAGCGTAAGCTAGTGCCCATCCATCGGCTTTTTGCTCTCGTTTTCTCACCCTGACGCACCATACCGTGCCGCGCCCATACCGTGCCGCACATTCCGTGCCACACCGAGGGGCGATTGCACCACCAGTGGGCACCATTCACCTCACGTCCGCAGCGTTCGCCTGGCTCCCGGCGATCGGGATCCATCGAGTGATTCGGTCCACTTCGTGCATTTGGCGAGTGAATCGGGGATTTGAGGGGAGGGGTGGGGAGGGGAGAGATTGAGAAAAGTGAATGACTCTTTAACTTTGAGTCTGCCAACTAATAGCCTGGCCTTTGCAATTTACAAGGCTAGTGAATGGGTCAGAATGTTATATTTTTGAAGCGTGGTCCATGGTGATCTATTTCTCTGGTTGGTGGGGTATCGGTATCAGCAGCTTTCAACAAGTTCCACCTTTATGGTCCACGTTCATCGTTCGTCTGGTGGTCGGCACAAACAAATAATTTACCCCTCATTTGAAACAACAACAACAACAACAACCACAACCACAACCACAACAACAACAACACCAGCAGCAGCAGCAGCAGCAGCAGCCACAGCGACCACGACCACGACGACGACCACGACGACGACGACGACGACGACGACAAGAAGAAGAACAAGGATCCCTTCAAGGAATCTTCCTTGACCTATATTTGTTCTCGTGTGTGGTCTCATCGAGTTGGTCAGGAAGAAAGGACTACATCTGGCCAACCGATGTTGGATGGTCAGATTCGTTCGGGGAATTACAACAGCATGCAATCCAACTGGTACCGAGTGTCGTTTCTGTGTCCTCAACCTGTAGAAACCTCCAATCAATCAACTTTATCAAAAAGTGGTCATCTACTTGTTCCAGAGTCTTCTGCAGGATCCCATTTTGGAGACAAACCCAATAAAAGCACCGCTATCTCCCCCCCTATATAAAACCAAATGATTGTATGTGATCTGTAGTCCTCCGAGTAGTCCTGGATGAGTCCCATTAGTCCGGTAGCCAAGGGCACACTCCAGCTCATCGTCATCATCCGTGCTCTTCTTGCTCTGCAAGATATGCTTGCTGGAGCCTCTGTCAGCTGGATCCGAGGGTTTCGCAGAAGACACGAGCTCGAGGGAGCGAAGATCTGCGAGACTCAAGAGTCTCTGTCCGCATCTGTCTCTGTCGACATTGGCTCGAGACCTTCTCACACTCTGTGATTCTCCATGCACCTTTTTGGACCCTGAAAAGGCCTCCAACCGCCTCAAATCACCCTTCCATCGCCTGCCTTATAGAACTCATAGGTTCCCCAAAAGGCCCCAAACCGTGCGCGCTCTCTTGAGCGCGCAAGACGCTTGCGGCCCCAGCGGCACATGGGCTTCCCCTTGTTCTTGAGACCCGAGGCGGTCAAGCGGCATCCGCCGGTACACTTGGTCACCTCAGGTGTCCATGCGCGACGGAAGACCGGGAGCTCGAGGGAAGAAGAATGGAAGGTTGGAGGGAGCTCGATCTGAAGCACGTTCATGTCGCTTTCGAAGGGGTCCGAGTGGTTTGATATCGGTTGGTCTATAATATTATAAATAGACCCTTCACTCATTTTGGGGAGGCAAATACACAAGTGTATCAACAAAGAGGCTTGGCACAACTACACTATAGGGCATCCTGAGATACTCGTGTATGCCCTACCGGGGCCCAGGTGGGACGCTTCCGTGTTCGACATGGGTTTTGCTCTTCAAGACCTCGAGACACCAAGGCAGTTGAGTGGTCTGACATACCTCCCCCAACAGAAACTCCAACTAGAACACAACCGATGAAGCTCAAGCAACCTATCTAAATCTATCTACTAACCTACCCACCTACCTTGACCCAGACCTAGAGTAGTAGCCCCAAAAAGACCTACCTGCTACCTAATCCAAATCCAGAACTTGCAGCTCACCCCCCAAAAAAATGCCCAAGCGCCGCAGACCCCAGCTCACCCCTGTCCTTCACGCCCCCATCCCATCTCATCCCATGACCTCCACCCGCCCGGTGTCATGTTCCATCCGAAGCTCCAAGGGCTCCTCTCCCGTCACCTTCGGCTCGATGAGCTTCTCGAGCACGGCACCGTCCAGGCGCGTGGCGCTCCAGGTGCCACTGATCTCGTTAGCATCCAAGGACCACCAGAAGCCTCAAGTCGTTCATCGAGACCTCTGACCGCGCACGGAGACCTCTGACCGAGACACCGGGTCGCCTCTGACCGTTCTTTCGCGGGAGACGGAAGGCGACCGAGCCGGCGTCCAAGGCGACATTCGGGTCAGTTTGACCTTGTGAAAGAAGGGACTACTTTGGGGAACTTGCACTGTGAGGTCACCCAGTTCACCCAGTTATGGGATTCAAATGGATTCAACATCCTTCAGCACCCACCATCCGGGTAGCTTATTGAATGCCCTTCAGAACCCTCAAAAGCAGGGTGAATCATCAAGGCTATCCATCAAATCTTCATCTCTTCGTCCACCTTCCCGTGACCTTCCCTCCAAGTCTGACACGACAACCGAAGAAAAAGAAACAAACCTTTAAAATGGAAATTCCCTTATGACCATTTTTAAGGTTTGTTTCTTTTTCTTCGGAGAGAATGCAGGAAAGTCATGGACATTCCCTTAGTTGACCATATGACTCACAAGAACCATCAAAACGGATCGAGTCATTCCCGGAATGACTCACGTGCACGGTCGACCATCCAAAAACCGGGTGCCGCCCAGGGCGCCGGTGATGGTGGCCACCGCCGAGCCCTTTCGATCCAGCTGTCCTTCCAGCATCGATCGGCCTTTCCATCCGTCCACCTGTGAAGAGCGACGACCCGCTGAGGGTGTGATCAACTGGGGGGGAAAAGCAGTCGTTTGGAACAGTAATGGCCTCCAACCTAATAGCACCGAGCCGTTTTCGTACCGAACCTCAGGTTTGGTGATTGGAGACACTGTTATGTAGGTCCAAGTACCTTCTGAGAAGGCACGACTGGATGCCTAGGGACAGGAGGCCGTTCATGTCCCAGCCAAGCCCTGCAGATCAGGTTCTGAGGTAGATCTGCAGCAGACCTTCCACTTGGGCCTCCCTAGGCCTCCAGCCCATCCAGACGACACCCTGAAAGGTTCAGAAAATCGACCCGACCATCCAACACCCATTTGGCCAGGGTGTCTGCCTATACACCCACCTCCCCGGATCGGCGCACACACGTCTCACCCTCACCTGGAGTCGCAAGGATCGGCTACTCAAAGAGCCTTCCACTGTAGCAGAGCTCACCTGGTCCGTGCCGAAAACCGAGAGATGTCACCAGTGGTAGTGACCGGTGCAAGACTTGTAGGAACAGCTGAATGCAAAAAAATGCAAACATCGCATCTACCATTCCCCCTTTTGACCACCCAACCTGCGACTCTGCCACACAACATCAAAAAAATCACACAAAACATCGAACGTTTTGCCCCTGCCCTCTACCTTGCCTTGGGCCCTTCGCTGGTACTCACGCCATCTAAGCCGGGACCCTCTAAGAGCACGCCGTTCACCGCGCCCGATCGGCTCTCCACCGCAAAGTGCACCTGGCGCCGCGGGTCGCCGTGTGGCGGGAACTTCCCCGCGGGGGACGCTTCGGAAGGCGGGTGGAAAAAGAAAAAGCCCTCTCAATTGAGCCGTTTTTGTAAGTGGTGGAGGCACAATAGCAGGACAATATGGATTTTGATGCGTTTGTGTTCAGCCTGAGGCCAAACTTTGAACCGGTTCTGCTTGAGCGGCTGCTGGAACTGAAGATTCTGAAGCGACCCTGGTGTGATTTTAAAAAAGCGTCCATGCGCCTATCGAAACCGGTGTCGCTGTGGATGTGTTGAATGAAGATGTAGGATTTCAATTGGATTTTCAACTGGTTTCCACGCGGAAACAAGGCTCATCCAAGTGCACGAAACCGGTACGAAGAACTGACTGGTGCTTAGTGGGGAATCAGGGAGTGAACCCCCCGGACACAAAAGCTCCATCTTCAGCCCTGGCGCGGTCAGCCACATCGTGTAGGCATAGGCCTGCGACAAAAGCAGCTGATGCTCGTTCGGAACCACACACCCCACGTTGGATGGGAGATGAATCCCTGATCTTTCAACACCTCTTCAATGATCAAATGGAATTCAAAGGAACGGCAAAAACAGGCACGAGGTAGTTGTCCTCTCTGCAGTCGTATTCCAGTCCTCTGTAGAGTCTACTTCTGAGAACACTGCCTAAAAATTCTTTTTGCATTGGACTGGGTCAACCGTCCACTAATAAGTGGTACTTTCACACTTTGGACGTGGTAGTTTTACTTTGTGGCTGGCACAAGCTGTGGTGGCTCAATGATCAGATGCTAAATAAAGCTCCTCTGCATGCGCTGCCAGATCCCGAACAATGCTCTTGCAACACAAGACCCCTCCTTCCCTATCGGATACAGAAAGATACTGATAAAGGTTGCTTTCCAAATGTTGAGAAACAACCAGCCGCCTATGGAGTACCACAATCTTCACTCGTTCTCAAGATGTTCGAAATCCCCAAACGGTTCTCATTTCAACGCTATCCTTTTGTTGCATGTCCATGGTGATCATGGTGACCTGTTTCCAGGTGTCCCCGGTGTGATCCTACTTCGCCCGGAAGTCCCCTCCTCTCCTCCCCGTCCGCCCCGTCCGCCCCCCGGACATCCTCCGCCCCCCGCCTGCGCGCCGTCCTGCAGACCGACGGACACACGCCAGAGCCCAGCGAGGCGCGCCGACTCGTCCACCACGCGCATGGCGCTCCAACGGCCTTCCTCGGCGACCGAGCGGCCGCGCGGCCGCCACGGCCCGGCGAGCGCAGGGAGGTCCCGTGGTGAAACCGAGAGCGGCAACAAAAAACTGTGGGTGGGTGAGCTGAGAGGTGTTCCGTGTGCCACTTGAGATCCTGAACACATGGTACAAACCTGTTAGGAAGAGTGCCAAATGGTGTGCGGATGTCCATCTTGCCTAACCTTCCAACATCCTCTCCCCGACTTCTTTTCGTTGGTCTCCCGCTTCCCCGTCTACGTCCTCTCCGCGTCCGTTCCAGGCGGCGGTGACGATCTTCACGTCCTGTAGCTCGGGATCGTCGCTGTTGGGATTCGCCGCACGCCACTCGCCCTTCAGCAGCGCAGAGGTGTCCTGGCATGCGAGGCGCGGAGCAAGCTGGGAGGTGGTCAAGCAATTTAAAGAGTGCATGGGGGTTGAGATGGGCTCACTGATGTTCACTGTGGTGAAGTGGGATATGAAAACGGGTCAAACATATGGATTCATCGACCATCTCAAGAAGAGACAAGGGTAATAAAGAGTAGGTGATCCCAGCAAGCTAGTATCTGACCAACTTAAATTAGAGGGGATCTCATCAAGGATCATCCAGATCTTCAGAATCCCTGCAGCCCGAGACACACTCTCATCCACCACTGCACCATCAAAGCCTAGCTGAGCTCGCTTGGTCGAAGAACCGAGACAAGATGGGACTGGGGGACAGTAAGTGGCAAGCGCCCCTTGGCGTTGGTGAACATGTTGCTGTTTGCTCCACCCATGCTGGCCCCTCAAACGGTGCCAGTAAGAATGTCATTTTGGTACTCGAACCCTCCAAGCTCACCCCAGCGATGGGCCAGTGCTGTAGCATCCGCCGAGCGACAGAACTGCACCTGTGTGGGCTGCTCTTCCTCCTCTTCGCCCTCTTCGTCGTCTTCATCTCGGACCTTCCTCGGGGTGGACCAGCGAACGGCATCCGACGTTTAACGACCGATCGACCCGTGGTGAACACGGGGAACCATTCGGAAGCATCCTGACGTTGGAACCCATCTGTCCGTTTGAACGTTGAAGGGAAGCCCCTCTGCCCTCTTCCCAGTTGAACATCCGGGCGGTGAGGTGAACCAGAGGGTGCACCAGATCTCAGGAGGGACCTTTCTGCATGTTGCGACCGGTCGAATCGTGACACCTCAACAGGTGAAGTGCCACGTTCTATGACCAGAATCCGATTCAGTGCAGCCCATGTGGTTCTGCAAATTGGCCGAAACTGGCTCATGGCCAAGGATGGCTTGGCAGGCTGAAACTGGCTGATGCCCGGGCTCTTAAAGAAACACCTGGAGAGAGTCGATGAGAGGGCACCTTGGTGTTTTCTGAAATCATGTGCAGACCGTGGACCGGTGGAATTTCCACCGACCGTGTCGAGAGCGGCCACGGGATGCAGAAAAAGCGACGCGTTCACTCCAACTCCTAGCCGGTCCTAGCCGGTCCTAGCCGGTCAGCCCGGTGCCACCAAGGATCTTCTTTTCCAAGGAGGACTTCTTTTGTTGCCCAAAGAGATCCAGCGTCACTTGCCGACCCACCAGTTTCCCCTCGAGCCGGGGATCCAACGGGCGGAGTCAGATCACAGACCAGCTGTTTTTGGTCCCTAAGTGAGTGGATAGTGGGCACCCCTCCAATTATTAGCACCCCTTTGGAACTCCTGGCATCCACCAAGTTTTCGGACAACAATCTCTGCCTAGTGAGACCGAAAAAGCATGTCATGTCCCAGAGTACTGGTATATTGGTGGCAGTCAGACTCTCCCGAAGAGCCAGTCAAGCCGGATGCCCCAAAAAACCCACCAAAGCAACCACGCGCATGCTAACCGCTAACCCAACACAAACCAAACTCCCAAGGGCGCCCGTTTCCAAAAACCTCGGACCAGTCGCGCAACCAGTCCCACACTTCCATCCGCCATGCGCCCACCCGCCAAGTCCGGTCCAAGTCCCCAGTCAACTGCCTCACTGCGGAGGGCGATGATCCGGATGCCCTTCTTCTCCGGTTTCACCTCCACCTTGGTGGCCTCTCGGTGCAAACAAAGAGCTGTTCCGCGGGCGGAAGCTCCACCGGCCCTTGATCAGGACCATTCTCCAAGTGGACCTAATATGGGGTATACAGGTTACATACATGGCCCATGGCTATATTTTTTGGCCTGTCTTGTTGCAGAGAAGTATGGTAATTTAGGATCTTAATCGAGCGCTAGAAACATGTCAGGCAGGTGCTGTACACCCTTCCAACATACATGGAAGTGGATGGCACCAAGCCCCCAGAAAGCAATGTTCCTTTGATTCCCCTCAAAACCTGGGATGTTCTACCATGGGCAGCGATAAAGGCCAGCCCCAAAAAGGATGCGTCAGAGTGAGTCTCTGATCTCGGTGGATCAGAAAGCGCATAGAATCCACCACTTAAAGGAAATAGACCACAAGGAAACCATGGGAAACCACTTGGATATTGCATGATATAGCTACATCCCAACTCAAAATCCTGCCCTCTACTTGCTTCCACTAGCCTCTCTCCCTTCTCCGGCAAATCACTTCGAGGGCCTCGTTCTCCTCCTCATCTTCCGTTTCACTGTTGTCATATTCGCTGTCCTCATCTCCGTAGAGCTCTTCGAAGAAGGTCGAAAGCTCCTATGGAGACAAAAACGGAGTTCATATCCGTAATGGTTTCCGTGCCAAGATACTGTCTCAGGGGAATAAAGATCCAAACAAACGTCTGCAGGTTATCTCCTCTTCAATGTCGTGCTCGCATAGCAGCTCGTGTAGGTGATCAAACTTGTCTTCCAAGCCTCAACGCAAAGCCCCTCTGCTCACATTGCTTGGAACCTTCTTTTCCCCGCCCCAGTTCGAGTAGACCCACTAGTCACTAGTCTGGACCTATGATAGTGTCCTCAAAACGTGGGGAGTTGGCATGAATGTCTTCTTCTCGTCCTACTCATGGGACTCTGATGGGCTGCAATCATTGATGCTTGGGGAGATTCCAGAAGCCAAATGGGTGTGATGTTTGAGACTAGGAAGACCCCCTCCACCCTCAACTGCGCATGATCCTTTCGTCCTTTTCTCCCCCAAGGTCATGGTCTAAGACTGCGGCCGGAGGATTCGAATTCCCGCCGCAACTTCTTGTTCTTGCGCACCGTCTTGAAGTACTCAAAGAGCTGCTTGTAGGCCCTCAAGACCTGGAGACGTTACTCGGAGAACACGACCGGCCGCCGTCGGTCCGGAGACCTCGCGCGAGACCGCGCCTGGCCGAGGTCTCCATTGTAGTTCTCCAAGGTTTCCTGGTGACCAAACGTGTCGGTTTAGACCGAAAAAATGGATCGAAGGGACTCTCCAGGCCTTATTTAGAACATAGTGTTGTGTGAAGCAAGGATCATCAAGTATCCCAACTTCCTTATTCTCCAAAAACCTGTGTAGCCTTTCGCAAAGAACAAATGAAAACAACATGAATTTGCAACACGAACACCAAAGTCGCAGTTCCTTCCCCCCAAACCACAACACCAAATCACACTCTCCCAGTCTGCTTCACTTGCAGAAATCCTGGCACCGGAGACTCAGAACATCACTGGTATTTATGGATGTGTTTCGTTGGTCCAAGTTGAAAGTTGTTCATATTAATCAGAAAGTGATCACAATTCCACATCTCATCACATGAACCCTCCACATCCATCTATCCACCCCGATCCCAAGGACCCTCACCATTGCCCCCCCTTCTGTCCGTGAGGGATGCCAAGTGGTCGAAGAAGGGCAGCAAGTCCTCGCTGAGCGTTGAACGGTCCACCTCCCTCGCCGGCTCGTCCGAGACGCACTCCTCCTGTGGCAAAAAAGCGGCCGGTGCGTGGGAGACTCGTTGGCAATGGGGACGGCAGCAGAGGTTGGGATTGGTCTGGAATTGTTGGGAAATTTTTAAATTTCCAGCACAATATGCGAAACGCGGATTTCAGAAGAACACGGCCTTCGGCTGTTTAGTATGCACGATCAAGGCGCAAAGCAATCAAAAATCTCCAAATGGAAGGAATGGCAGCCACAAAGGCCACCACTTTGCTCCAAACGCCACCCCTTTGCTCAAAGGAGTCCGGAGCTTCGCAGAAAAAACAGTTCGATCAATTGCGGGAGGTATGGATCTTGACATCATTTATGGACGTGGGTCAAAAGCTCCCCCACCAAACCATTGGTCGACATCCCGAACATAGAGGAATCTGGTCAACCATCCCCCGGTCTTGACCCCCAGCCACGAAAATCGTTTGTTCCGTGTTGCCACAATCGGATACCATCGGTCCCTCCTGTTTTGGTCAATTTTCTAAAGAAGACACGGCGAATTTGGGCACCACAAGCGATCTTGATGATTTTGTTTCATCTGCTAATGAAGAGCATCCATGGACAATGGGTTTGACTGACCCATGGAGGAGAGCTGTTGGAGGCAACCGCGTGAGGTAGCCTTCAGTGACGCTCCCTAAATATCCTATATCACAAATTCGATGGGGTTAGAGGTGCCCAAAAAATGAGCTGAAAAACCAAACCAAATTATGAACCAATAAACGACCAGGCCAACCAGCAAAGTCTCAATGCATCTCAATGCCATATCATTAAAGACGTGCAAACTGCAAGACGTACTGTGTTTCCTCGTCAACTACATGAGGCCCTTTCTTAGGGGATGAATCGAAGGCACTGCAGCCGCTCTGTCACCGGCTGCGGGCGCAGTAGCGGTCAGAATGACTTTCGTGTGCAGAGTAGCTCGTTCCTTCGTTCGATTCCTTCCTTTTGAATCCTCTTGACCCAGATGTTGAAGCCTTAAAGGAAAAAATTATTGTCTACTTTTGAACCCCTTCCTTTGCCTTCCTTGTTTCATGGATGTTGCCTATCGAAGCCACGCAGTCTGCAATTACCACAGGTTCGACGAAGCACCACCGAGCCTTCCAACCACGGCAGACAAAAGGAAGACTCCCGACGATTCAAGCCAAACGGA